ACTGTTACAGGGAATATTGTAGTAGGTCATTATAAAAAAGCTGGTAGAAATAGTTCCATAAATTTATTTTGTTTATTTCCTAGATGAGAAGTAAAAGATTTTTTTTTTTTTTTAAAGATTGGAACCTGAGCTAACATCTGTTGCCAATCTTCTTTTTTTTTTCCTTCTTCTCCCCAAAGCTCCCCAGTACATAGTTGTATATTCTAGTTGTGAGTGCCTCTGGTTGTGCTATGTGGGACATCGCCTCAGCATAGCCTGACGAGCGGTGCCATGTCCACACCAGGATCTGAACCAATGAAACCCTGGGCCTCTGAAGCGGAGCGTGCAAACTTAACCACTCGTCCACGGGGCCGGCCCCAAAAGATCTCAATAAGAATATACTCAGCAGAAGCAATAGTATTAAGATCTTAAACACTGGATGGTTACGATAAAGAGTATAAGTTTCCTTTCCTCTGGAAGAAACAGAGTCGGCTTTAAAGATGCTCATGATGATGGCGATTAGCCTCAACTGCAGAAACACAGCTTAGAGGAGAAAAGACAATCTGTCTTTATTTTACTAGCTATTTGACTTCTATCTCCTACTTCTATCTCTTTTTTCAGTCTTCTGCAAAAAAAGTGTTTGTCCTCAAAACAAACAAACAAACTCAAGGACTTGTATTTTTAAAAACTCAACTCATATCAGTGTTGGGAGAGAGAATGACTTAAAGGGATGCAAAGGAAACTTCTGGGTAGACGGAAATGTTCTACGTCTTGATTGGAACACTGGTTACTAGGTGTATACATTTCTCAAAAGTCATCAATCTGTACATTTAAAATGAATGAATTTTATTGTAAGTGACGTACACCTCAATAAAATCGATTTTAAAAACTTCTCCTCGAGGGGCTAGCCCTGGTGTCCTAGTGGTTAAGTTTGGTGCACTCCGCTTCCACAGCCTGGATTCAGTTCCCAGGCACGGACCTACACCACTGGTCTGTCAGCAGCCATGCTGTGGTGGAGGTGCACATACGAAATAGAGGAAGACTGGCAGCGGGCGTTAGCTAAGGGAAAATCTTTCTCAGCACAAAAGATAAAAACTTCTACTCTAAAGAGTAGAAATATTCCTGCACTTAGGATAGCATGTGAAAGTCTTCTTTTAAAACTAGTTTCAAAAGTAACCCGAAATTAGAAATTGCTCATCTTCTTAGTCCACCCTGCTGGGAAATGTTCCTAAAAATATAATCACAATTGCTCCCGGGAAGCAGGTGGGTCTTTCCCTGCTCTGTTTAAATTTCCACACTCCCACACTCCCTCTTCTTCCCTGCTTTAGTTGCCTCCACGGCACTGACCACCGTCTGATCTCTCAGTTAGGTTATAGTGATTATTTATGACTGTCTCTCCCAACTAGAATGGTAAGTTCTGTGATGGCAGGGTTTGGTCTGTTTTGTTCAGGGCGCTTCTGGTATGTAGCTGGAGTTTAATAAATATTTTTGAATCAATTCAAACTTTACTATTAAATATATTTCTGGTGTTCTTGATGGAGAGAAGAATGTCAGAAGATTAACTATATGGTCTTTAATATGTTATACTCTATCTACTTACAAAAATTATTGGAGGTGATTTGCCATTCATTTCCTCTACAATATATATTGAGTCACTTCTGTGTATGTGTTGTACTAGGCACTGGGGAAATATGGCTCTCAAACAAGACTTAAAATGGAAAATATTAAAGCATAGTCAGAAAGGGAAAATAACTATACCCAAAATCCAGGCTATTCTGTAATTCTGGTTTAGCATTATATTTACTTTTAAAGATCTCTGGCAAAGATCTTTAAGGTCTGAGTCATAAAGGAATGTTTAAAAATTTTTCATATAAATCTACACTGTATTTTTTCTACCTACCACTCATTTACAAAACTGACTGTGTCGGGTGAAAAAAGATTTTTTTATTTTGCAGGGAAGGATTCAACCCAAGCTAACATCTGTTGCCATCTTCCTCTTTTTTTTTCCTCCCCAAAGCCCCAGTACATGGTTGTGTACCCTAGTTGCAGGTCCTTCCAGTTGTTCTATGTGAGCTGCCGCCACAGCATGGCAACTGACAGACAGGTGGTGTGGCTCTGTGACCTGGAAATGAACCCCCGCTGCCAAATTTTAACCACTAGACCATCAGATTTTTTTTTTTAACTAAGCAAATAATGAATTAAATTTTAAGTGACCCTAAGTATACGTATATGATGTTTGAAGTGCTTTGCTGGTACAGTTTTAATAAATGTTTTCATACTGAGATAAAGTTCTATTCTTTGATTTTATAGAGTCATAGTTTTTTTCCACTTAGAAAAGTCTCTTGCGACAATTTCTGCATCTAACATTTTGCAGATGAAAATATTAACACTCCGAAAGGTTAAATGGCTTGCCCAAGGTCGTTAGTGCCAAAGCTCTGGTTCCTTATTCCTGAACCATCTCAAATGAACCAATTCTTCTTAACTGCATCTTATAAAGGCGAGCAGCCATTTGGACTGACAACAATAAGGACAGTGGTTTCTCGAGGGCAGAAACTGGAGCTCCCTCAGTGCCCTGCAGAGGATCTGGTCCAGAGAAGGAACCCAATGAAGGGAGACAAATAATTACACTGGATCCAGGCATGGACTCCCACTAAAGAGCTCTTGGCGACTAGGGCCCTGCACGACCAGAACCCGCAACTTCCTCCTGTTGGTCCACTCCGCTCGGGCCTCACTGGCCTCTTGGTTGATTCAGATACACCAAGCACGCATTTGGGATGCTCCGTCCCACGACATCCATATGGCTCCTCCCTCCAGTCCTACAGGTCTCTGCTCAATGTCACTTTATCAATGAGGCCTTCTCAGAGCACGCTATGAAACAGCACCCCACACTCCCTAACCTCCTTACTCTGTCTCCATAACACTTAACCCCATCTGACAGATTTTCTCTTGTCTCATTGCACATGCTCATTTTCCTCCCGAAGAATGTAAACTCCACGAGGGTAGGGACTTTATTTGGTTCACGGCTGTATTTTCACATGGCACCTTCACCTTCACATAGTATGTGGCAGGTGCTCTGTGAATATACGTGAAATGACTGAATGAATGGTAAAGGAACTCTGGATCCCTTCCTTCGTCTCTAAATTCTTTATTTTAAAAGCTAAGAAGATCTTTTAAATTCACTATCGAAAACTTACTGTGACAGGACCAGCCCTGTGGCCAAGTGGTTAAGTTTGCACACTCTACTTTGGTGGCCCAGGGTTTCAGCAGTTCGGATCCTGGGCACGGACATGGCACTGCTCATCAAGCCATGCTGAGGCGGCATCCCACATGCCACACGTAGAAGGACCCACAACCATGTACTGGGGGCTTTGGGGAGAAAAAGGAAAAATAAAATCTTAAAAAAAAATAAGTACAACTGCAAGGCACTTCAAAATGCAAAGAATTTTATATTAAAATTAGGTGCACATAACTTTCATACATATAATTGGGTTTAAATAGTTTTATACTGTTCTAATTAGCACATTATTTTAATTAGAGGAAAGAAAAGAAAAGGGTTACTTTTTTAGCTCTTAGGGTCCAGGTTACAAATACAAATGAGATATCAATGGAAATCGCATACCAGGTAACTGAAATATTTTCTTGCCATAGGAACACACACATGCTTTGATGGAATAAAAGATTAAAATAACATAATTAAAGGGGCCAGCCCCATGGCCATGGTTCAAGTTCCACATGCTCTGGATTGTTGGCCTGAATTTGTGGGTTCAGACCCCAATGTGGTCCTACTCCACTTGTGAGCCATGCTGTGGAGCATACATACAAAGTAGAGGAAGATTGGCACAGATGTAGCTCAGGGCTAATCTTCCTCAAATGAAAAAGGAAGAAGATTGGCATAGATGTTAGCTCAGGAAGAATCTTCCTCTCCACACACACACACCAATTTAAAATTGCTTTCTGTCTGGCCACAAAACCGAGACCATTTACTTTTCCATTTAATACTTTTGGCTTCATTCCCTGTTAAAACGCTTGATTCTATAGGTAATCTTAGATATCTCCAAGTCAATAAATGGAATAATTTAAATTATAGGCATGATAAAAATCAATCTTTAGTGGTATTTAATACTACTTTTATTAAAATTTATAACCTCATTATATAATGTAGGATTTATTAATATTTCAAAACAATTTATACATAAAAGTTCTTTGCTGTAGGTGTCTGTGTAACGTGACTGCTAATAGTGCAAACGCCACAGGTGCATCCATCCCACTCAGGCCTTTCTGGATTCCTTCCATGTGAGCAGTAATTTGGGCAGCACTGACAGGCTGGAGTGCGTAATCATTTAATCTGGTAAATTCTATGTTAGAGATGACGACAGAGAGCAACTGAAGCACAGCGGAGGAAACAACTCTCCGGAGCCAAGAGGGTCCTGAGAACTCATCTGAACCTTGAAAAACACCCCGGACAGAGGATCAGCACAAGCCAAGGCAGAGCTGCAAAATGTGAGTTCTGTTAATTTCAAATGGTCTCGGGGGGGGTTTTAAGGGGCGGGGTGGAGTGGAGGAAGTGTCAGAAGTGGAGGCAGGAGGAAGGCTTGACAGGCAACGCCACGACTGGGCTAGACTCTTGGAGAACAGGTACGGACAGGATCTGTGCGGGCCAGCGGGAATTTGGGAAGAGCATCTGGAGGACAACTGCGGGAATGGCGGGGGGCGCTCGGGGGGGGGGGGGTGGAGGAGGATGGGGAGAGCGGTTAGGCGGCTGTAGAGAAGTGAGAGGCCTGGAGTGGCAGCGAGTACAAGGGGAGGCCCGAACCGAGGCTCGTTTCTGGGGTAGGGCTGCCGGGATCCGACGCCTGGCTATGGCAAGCAGCCTCCTCAGTTAGCGCTTCTGGGCCCGCCTGGCGCTCGGTTGCCCTGGCGACGGCGTGCCGGGGGCGGAGCCGGGGGTAGTCGGCCCCAGCCGGCGGCTGCCCGGCCCCGCCCCGCCCCCCGCCTCGCCGAGGTGCCCAACGGTAGCCCGCGCGATCCGCGCCGAGGGCGGCGGCCGGAGCCCTAGCACCGCGAGGCTGAAGTGGGCGGGGCCGCGTCCGGCGCCGCCACCGTGGAGGAGTCGCCGCCGCCGCCGCCGGGTCGACGCAGGTGCGGCCGCCGCGCCCGCCGGCGCCCCCGCGGGGATGCGGCCGGTCTCTTAGGATGAGGCGTTGGTGGCAGGTACAGGGCGGGGCGCGGCCCGGGGCAGGGTGAGGGCCGGGTCTTTCTCCAGAGGACCCGGAGCAGCGCGTCTTCGTTTCTGGAACCTTCCAGGCCTTTGTGTGTTCCTTCCCCAAATGGGCTGCTTTTGTTTTCGGGGATCGCAAGACCTCCGGACACAGTGGCTGTAACTCTGGGACCGCAGGGCCCTGTGAAAGTATTCCATTTGGGGGAGTAACCGCGGATCCTGTCCCAAAACTACTGCTAACTCCTGTTCCTACCCCGCCTCGGGCGGACAGGGAGACGGGATGGGAAGACATGGAGATAAAGAGGAGTGTCTAGCCTTGGGCAGTCTTCAGCTTCTCATCCAAAATGAGATTCTATTTAAAACTGTGCAAGGGCCTTTTCAACTCGAGCTCTCCCTGTAAGCCACCGTAGGAGTCTGGCTCTGCCCCATTAGCAGCATCAATCAGAAACACAATGAGTTTTCAATTAAGTCCATCCTTTTCCATAAAAGTCTGCTGCAAGTCCCCAGTCGGGCGGGATGTTCCTGGTTTTGTTCGTGCATCTTGATGTACCTTAAGGTCAGGGGAAAGTAGAAGAGAAGTGGAGTGGGCTAATTCTCAGGTGTTTTGGACTGGCAACCATTTTTTGCTTCCTCAGCAGCCAGTTGAGGAAGGGGCGGCCCAGTGCCTTCCACGTTTCCCAGAGACCAGCCAGGCAGGACTGTTTCTCTGTGTAAAGTCCTGGGGTGGGGGTGGGGGAGCGGGAGCGATGGGAGAGGTCTGCTCCTCCCACCTCTGTACCACGCTTGTTGTTTTGAATCTTCGACAGTTAACTATTCATTTGTGTAGTGCGTTGAAAGGGTTTTTATGCCATGGAAATAATGTACTCCCAAAATAGAGGGCAGAAATTGACAATTTATTTGGTATGTGCAAAGCCCTCCATATTATGTTTTACAAAGAGGACTCAGTGTCGTCTACTATGTTAGTGTCTCTCACTTTAAAACTATACAGTTTATTAAATAAGGCCTCTTGTGAACCATCTGTTCCCAAACTAGGTGGCCCCAAATTATATGGTCTTGTAGGCTGAATAAGGGCCACCCAAAAATACCAAGTCCTGATCCCTGGAACCTGTACATGTTATAAGGAAAAAGAGTCTTTGCATAGGTGGTTAAGTCAAAGATCTTGAAATGGGGAGATTATCCTGGATTATCTGGGTGGGCTCTAAAAGCAAACACAAGTGTCCTTGTAAGAGAGAGGCAGGGGAAGATTTGATCCAGACAGACGAGGAGAATGCATTATGACCACAGAGGCAGAGATGGCAGTGATGGGGCCACAAGCCTGGTAATGCTGGCAGCCAGCAGAAGCTGGAAGAGGCAAGGAATGGATTCTTTCCTAGAGCCTCTGGAGGAGTACAGCCCTGCCAACACCTTGATTTCAGCCCTGAGAGACTGGTTTTGACTTCTGGCCTCCAAAACTGGGAGAGAACGGATGGCTATCATATTAAGCCACCACGCTTGTGGCAATTTGTTGTGGCGACTACAGGAAACTAATACATATGGTCATGCTTCTAGATCACATAGAATCAGTCCTGCATTGATGAATATTTTAAAGCTCTCTGCTGGGGCAGTGGCAGGTTTAGTATTGGAGACCACTGAATATCTTCCTGAACTCCGTAAATCCTAAGGAAAAAGTTTGAACGAGGAATTTGGTAAGAAGAGAAAATAAGTTATGTGTGTAGGAAAGAGGAAGTCCAGCATGGAAAGCAATTTTTTAAACTTTCATTTTTATTCCCCTTACTATATCACTGTATTTGCTCTTGTTGAGAGAATAAAGGTACAAAGTGACTTAGGCTTGGTCCTTAGCTCAGACGTTATTGAATATCCATCATTGTATATCAAATAAGAATTGCAAGAGTTGCAGGCACCTGGGGATTGAGGTCCAGGCCTGGGGAAAATAAGCAATGCAGAAGTGCCTCCGTGTGAGGGGATGTTAAAATCTGACTAAAAGCAACCTCTAGTCATCTTGAAATGAAGGCATTCTGGAGTTTTCAGGTTGCAGGAAAAAACCAGTGTTCAGGTTTAATTGACTGACTTCTGGGACCCAGGCAGCTAATTTGCACTCCCACTCTTACCCTACAAAACATCATGAAAATATACATAAAAGAGTAGCCAATCCGCTTTCTTTTTGAGCTGCTTTTTTGAGGTATAATTTACATACTATACTATTCACCAATCTTAAGTATAAAATCCAGTGATTTTTAGTAAATTTACAGAATTGTGCAATCATCACCAAAATTAAATTTTAGAGCATTTTCATCACTCAAAAAAGATCCCTTGGGCCCATTCTCAGTGAATCCCCATTCCCAACCCCAGCACCAATCTACTTTTGATCACTGGTCTACTCTAGAGTTAGGCTTTAGTCCCTCTGCTGGGCTGTGCCAATGGCCTCGTAAGTGGCCTCTGCTTCTGCTCAGTATGTTTTCTGCCTAGTGTTGGAGGATTATATGCCCTGATTAAAATCCTCCACCTTTCCATCACAATTTGAATAAACCCCAAAGGCCTTAATATGGCCTTTTCAAGGCCCCTTGAGTTCTGCCCCCTGCCAGCATCACCAACAACTTCTCAGGGTAATCTAGGAAAGGAACTGAGAATCAGCACAGCATGCCTTCGGGCGCAGTACACAGTTGGCTGTCCATAGGCAGGCCTCCCATCTTCCCTTGACTACATGCAAGGGATGTAGTCACTAGCCTCCTGTCTCGCCATTCAGTGAACACTAAGCCCTTCTCATCTCAGTCATCTGCGGGGTTGACTTCTTTTTGTCATTCAGCTCAAATGTCACCTTCTCAGAAAGTCCTTCCCTGACCTCCCCTAACTCAGAAGCCTCAACTCAGGCTCTCTGTATACTACTCCCCTGTGTTGTTCTCATCATTGCACGTAGTCACTCTCCAAAGTTCCATTTTTGATTTGTTTCTTTAGTGTCTCTCTCTCCCCACTAGAATATAAGATCCATGAGGGTCGAAACTGGATTGGTCTTGATCTTAGCTCTATCTCTATTATTTATAGAAACGCTTTTCATAGCAGCAGTACATTTTAAACCATCAGAGTGCCAACAATAGTAATTAATAATTATCAAATGCTTAACAGTGTGCCAGGCCCTGTGCTAAGTGCTTTATATGTATGAATGATTTAATTGAAGCTTACTACTTTTAATGTGAGATGAGTAAGGGGAGCATGCCTTCCAAATATAGTCTCTTACATTAAATTATTTTTTTCAGAGGCGTTGGGCAGTTTTCTTTCTCTTATTATTAGAACATTGATTTTAAAGACTGGATAAGTGTACATTGACACCAGTAATATGTATGTCAACGTATATGGACACCCTAAAAACTGAGCTGGAGAGGTTTTTGCTAGGAAGGAAAAGAGGAACAAAAAGCAGAGTATAAATACAAGCAGAGTCCGAAAAGAGCAGGACACAGCAAGTAGGCTTCAACTGGAGCACGGAGCACAGTATGTTTCAGGGGCGTGAAGAGGAAGGAGATGAAGCTGGGAGGTTGATTAGGCCAGATGTAAAGGTGCTAGTCTTTGAGTGCTAGTCTTAGTTCACACCTTAGTCTTTGAGCAAGATATGGCAAAATGGCTCTGGTTTTAAAGAGAACTCTTTTTTTTTTTTTTTGAGAAAGATTAGCCCTGAGCTAACTACTGCCAATCCTCCTCTTTTTGCTGAGGAAGACTGGCCCTGAGCTAATATCCATGCCCATCTTCCTCTACTTTATACATGGGATGCCTACCACAGCATGGCTTGCCACTCGGTGCCATGTCCGCACCCGGGATCTGAACCGGTGAACCCTGGGCCGCCGAGAAGCGGAACATGTGCACTTAACCGCTGCACCACCGGGCTGGCCCTAAAGGGAACTCTTAAAGATTAAAAGAAACTGAAGCTAGAAGACCATTTTGAAGTATTTTATAGTAGGTCTGGCAAGAGTTAATTAAGCATGAAAAAATACAGTGGGACTAAAATTGCATATTCAAGGATTCCTTCCTTCTGACTTATAACTACACGTAAGTTTTCTTCACTGAGTTAAAAGATCTTACAGAGGTAAGATGTGGTGACTAACTGGAGGTGGAGTTTGAGTAGATGAAGAATAGATGAAGATGGTGAAATGTCTGACTTGGGAAGTTGAGTTTATGATGTCATTATCTAAGAACATCCTAGAAAGCAAATTAGGTGGGAATATGAAGGGACCAGATTTGAGAAACGATGAATTTAAGATGACTGTAAACATATATGCGAGGTGTTAAAGGAACAGATATTTATTAAAATTTACCTAGAGCCAAATCTGAACAAAACAGTGTGAAACTTGCTGGAGGTAGTGGAATTGTCCCTATCTAGCTTTGCTGTTGACTGAAAACACCTGTAAGAAGTCATCGTATATTTGGTCATCTTTTTGCTGAATGTTTTCCGTAGAAAATCATAGAATGTCCAAGTTGGAGAGGATTTTGGAAATCTTCTAATCCAACACTGTGCCCAAGAGAAAATAGCCAGTGACCATTGTAACGAACAAATGCTGATCCACCCTCAGTGTGAACACCTCACAAGGAAGCCCACCATGTATGCGTTCCAGGGGCTCTAGTTTTTAGAAGGCCACCTGCACCCTGAACCAGACCTGCCTCCTGTTGTTTCTGCTCATTAGTTCTAATTCTGCACATAGAATATTCTCACTCATCTTTCCAGTGTGGCAGCTGCTCACTTAGAGTCCACTGAGGTAATCCAAAAATCCTAGTAGTTTATCATCTCAGCTCCACTGCTTAAAATTTATGGACCTATTTCTCACTCACCAGACAGAAGTTCCTCTACCCAGTAACTTTTCTAACGAAGCACAAGGGCCTGGTCAAAGCATCTGTAAGCAGTAAAAAGCAGTTCAGACAGTCAGAAGACATTCAGCTGGTCTATTTACTTAAGTCAGTTTGAACTATACCTGGAGAAAGGTCAGGCCTGGGAAGGTAGGTACAGGGGCACGTGCCGGAAGTTTTACTTGCTGTGTGTCTCCATCATGCCGCTAAGATCTGTATCAACAAAATCAGCATTGGACCAACAGGCTGCAAGTAACTGAACATGTTCTGTTGTACAAACATAGCCTAGATAAGTACGATAGACTATTAACAATAGACTTTCATATACAAGATAAGCCCAAAGGAAAAAGAATTTAAAGGTTTTTGTTGTTGTTGTATGTGTGTTTTAGATGTTGTCGAGATCTTAAGTGATGAAAATGAACTTGTGAATTGAACATTTTGAAAATAATACCTTTTAGATAATGAATCATTATATATTAATGAGCAGATTTTAAAATATTTTATTTTTTTCAGGTGTTAATAGGATAAGTGAAAAGAATATCCAGATATTAAGGTATCTCTTGTTTCACTTTGAGTTATATTTAAAAATTGTGAACACACACAAATGATATACTATTTATTATATCTATATCTAATTTATTTTAGAACTCAAAGCCTCGAACTTGGTGAATGCCTAGGCTGGACTATATAAGATAATAAAGCTGCAAGGGCTTTTATCTCTGTGGTTTTCAAACTCCGCTCAGTGGAGCCTTCTGCATTACATAAAAGTGACTCCAGGGCAGAGAGGAGGGTGTGTAGCTGGGGCTCTGAAGATTTAAAGAAAGGCTTCCACTGCTTAAAGAAAGTTTGGAAAACACAACTGTAATCTCATTCAGTAATGGTGGAAATTGAGACTCAGAGATATGAAAAGATTTGCCCTTGCTCTCACAGGGACCAGTGACAGAACTGTTTCCTGATTCTCCGTTCTGTGCTTCTCCATACTGCCTCCCTATAAAACAAGTATTATGTGCTGGTGAAGTATGGTCTTAAATAGCTTAATTTTATGTTCCATCATAATAGCCCCTGTGTTTACTTAATGCAATTTAAACCCACTTTCTTTGCTGTTAGTGGACTATGTGAAACTTATATCTTCTTTCTAGATAAAAAGTAAGATACAGCCATTTACTATGGGAAAGTGAGTTAGTACACACTGCTTAAATAGAAAGACAGTATTGTTACTCATGTTTACTATCGTGTTATGTCGTATGATAGACATATAGATTGAGGCAGGTGCTGTTTAGTAAATTAACGTGAGTTATCTCAGTTAACTCTTATTCTTTTGAGGTATATACTCTTTATCTGCATCTTATAGTATTAAATAGGTTAAATATTATTCTCAAGGTCACATACCTAGTAGATCACAGAGCTAAGATTTGAACCCTAACAGTCAATAACGACATCTAGAGAGACAGAATGATTGAGAAAGCAACCACAGAGTGGTGTGAGGTTAATAAGCAGTTAACTAGCTCAGGCAGTAAAGTGCTGTTCAACATTAACTGTTCTCATGGCATTTCTGAGACTGTACCAGCCCAGATATTTTGTATTTGGATCAATCTTGGAGTACCTTAGAATTTCAAAGGAAAACATAACTGCAGACTGGTGCTAGGAGAATATGGACCAGTTTTGTAAAATCCCCAGTCTCAGGCTCCTTTGGAAGGTAGAATGGTTCACATCCTAGGGGCTTTAGTCATGACCCAGAAATCTAGATATAACATACATTATAATGCAGTTTGTACTCAACTAAAATAAAGCATATGATCTTAATTCAAATCAAACTCATTTTCCACTTTACCCTCAAGTGTACATTCTCTTACTTTTTTCTTTTACTTAAAAAAAAAAATCCTTACTGCTAAACTTCCTCTGTCTTTATTCCCTTTTCTTTCTTTTGAAAAATTGCATGTTTTAACAAATTTTTTATTCGATTTATTTACACTAAAAAACAAAACAAAACGGGGGACAGCCCAGTGGTGTAGTGGTTAAGTTTGCATACTCTGCTTCAGTGGCCTCGAGTTCATGGGTTTGGATCCCAGATGCAGACCTACACACTGCTTATCAAGCCATGATGTGGCAGCGATGCACATGCAAAATAGAGGAAGATTGGCACAGATGTTAGCTCAGGGACAATCTTCCTCAAGCAAAAAGAGGAAGATTGGCAACAGATGATAGCTCAGCGCCAATCTTCCTCACCAAAAAAACAAAACAAAACAGTTCACGCATTTCTCCAACCCCCCATCCCTGGCCTCGTGCAGCTACCAATCTGTTCTCTGTATCTATGAGCTTGGGTTTTTGTTTTGTTTTGTTTTTAGATTTCACATATAAGAGAGATCATATGGTATTTGCTTTTCTCTATCTGACTTATTAGTCAGACCATATTGAGGAGGAACCAGACAATGCAAACTAGAAACATTATGTTACATTTCAAAAGAACATTTCCTTGCAGATGTTATAGCTGACTATACAGTCTACTCTTACCTTTCCTCTCAATGGTAAGGCAACAGAAGAGGAAGAGAGAGAAAGAAGCAGAAAATAACTGGGAGTGAAACAGAGAGAAATCATAATGAGAGACCCATTTTCAGGGTCAGTTGTTATTCAACTCAATTACTTGATTTACTTTAAAAAATAGCCTTTAAAAGCTATCCTTTTACATGTTCTGTATGTTCGTTTTGGGATTTCATGTTAGTCAATATTCTGGTGCAGAGAACAGATTCCACCCTAGACAATTTGAATAAAAGGATTTATTAAAGCATGTTAGATGGCTCACAGAGTTATTAAGATGATTGAATAAAAATCTGTAGGATGAGATTCCAGAATCTATTCTCAAGTCTATACTGCAGAACCAGGCTGCCCAAGGAGCTGCTTCTGCCGTGATCAGGAAGCTGCTTGTGAAATCAGGAGGCATCCCTTACTGCGTGTGTGGAGATAGGACCGCCTCAGTCTGAGCGGCTAGATTAGCCACAGTTACTAGTTCCGGAACAGCATCAAAGTGCTCCAGTCAGGAAACCTTGTGTGCAAAATCAGGAAGCTGCCGCTATAGCTTCAGGGTCCCGCATCATGCCACGTTTTCTACCATTGAGATGCCAATTTCTGCTAAATCACCCTCAGAGACAGAGTTGGGCTCCAGAACCATGCCACACTTGCTATAATCCAAAAAAACAAAATAGAGCATAGGTTCTAAATCAACTTACTATGGAGATAGTCACATTCTGTCACAGTCACAGGAGAGGGCACCTTAAGTAGCCATAGGGAAAGAAAGCGAGGCAGGACTGTTCACATGAGGAAAGATGCAGGTGCACAGCCACCAAGGAGAAGGGATAAGAATCCAGGAGATACTTTTAAGTTCTTTAGCTTAACTGTATAACAAAAACGAAAGCCTATAAACTATTTTCCTCTAAAAGTCCTTTTCTGTGGTCTGTGGCTTCTAAGGCCTTTTCTGCAACACTCTGATCAACCATCCAGAGTAGAATGTTTACCAGCTATTTCTTCCAGAAATGTCAGGCTCCCTTCAGTGTAAAGCTTTTCATAATTTTAAGTCAGGCAGAATTGTTCATCGTAAATCTTGGGCATACCAGAAGAGGCCAAGATCTCGTCTTTGTACTTTACTCAGAGATTTAAATCAAACCCATTTAAGTTCGTGTTACGATTTCCAAAACAACAAAGTGCAGTGTTTAAACAATTTTAAGACTTATTGAGGCAAAAAAACTTCCTTTTCCCAGAAATCCTTAACAATTTAATAAGCTTTATGCCTGAAAATAGAAATGTTTCACTTCTTTATAGTGTCACGAAAGTAAAGAAACACTGGATGACTTGACCAAACTGAGGGTATGGTCAGTCTAAAATAGCGAAAATCTGAATTACAGGTATTTTTTAAAGACGGATTTCAGTACTCTAAGGTACATAAAATAACTAGCAGCATTGGCAAATAGAAGTACTAAGCATCTTTTTTACAAATAAATGGTTGTTTTAAAATTCTTGTTTAAGTAAGTAAACCTATGCTGTCTTCTTTTAGCTACTAATTTTCCAAGAAAAAGAATTTCCCTCTGAAGGACTGCTGCTCTTCAGTGGCCTATTACCAATCAGTGGCCACTGAATTATTGAGTTTATCACGTTCATCGTCTTATGCCAAAGTAAACAAACGTGGTTTCTGTATCAGAGTGTTCTAAAGTCAAACCCTCTCCTTTCGCCTTTTCCCTCTTCTCCAGCTTCTAGTTCCAGCGCTGCTTACCTTGCTCGTAGGTTCTCTTTCCTGCTTGATGCCGAAAGCTTGGGATGAGGCCGAGTGGATTAGTGCGTGGTTCCCCAGCACTGGCTGTGCTTCGCTTGTGCTGCTCATTCCTTCGTGCTTTCGATCTAGCTGTCATTTGTGATAGTAACATTACTCAGTAATTTGAATTTTCTTAGTGTCTTTCCTCATCCTGAAGAATCTCCAAATGCATCATTTCAGTCTGTAAGTTAAATTATACAGCAAAGGTTCATGATAAAACTTGTTTAAATGAGGATGTTTTTTTCTTTTCCAAATAGCAATCTCTTCTATTTAGAACATTTAAATTGCCTAGCAATCTTGACTAACATTCTATTTGTTATAATTCTTTATGGAATGTCTTCCTACCTACTACTTATTTCCTAAAAATGATAGCACGAAACATATTAAGGTAGAATTTATCTAGTTGTAGTTTTGACAGATGACACTTCCAGTAATCAAAAGGGAGAAACTGTAAGTGAAATAAAAAGGAATTCTCTTCAATAAAAATTCTCTTTAGCTCACAAGTTTAAAAAATTTTTTTTAACACTATGCTTACAATCATGCATTATTGTAAAATGATAAGCAGTATGTTATATGTGATCTTCTCTTTCTGTCACTTTGATGGTCCTTGCCTGTATTTTTATAGAATCAGGATTCTGATTTATTAATTTGATCTTTTGTTTTTCTGTTTTCTACCTCATTAATTTCTGCTTTTATTTTTATTATTTCCTACCACTTGCTTTCTTTTGTTTTACTTTTTTTCCTACCTTTTTGTGTTAGAAATTGAATTCACTTCATTCTTTCATTTTTATTGAAATAGGTGTTTAAGGCTAGGAATTTTCCTCTTTTCATTGCTCTAATGTATCTCAGATTCTGATGTGTAGTGTTTTCGTTGTCATTATTTTTCAGAAATTCTTTAATTTCTGTTTTTATTTCCCTTATCACACAAGAGTTATTTAATAGAAGGCCTTTTAATTTCCAAGTGGAAAGGCCTTTTTGTTTGGGGTTTCACTTTTAGTTTCTAGTTTTATTAGTTGTGACCAGAGGATGTTGTTTGTAACATTTCTACTTTATGGAACCTACTTATCTTTTATTTGTGCCCTAGAATATGATTGGCTTTTGTGAGTGTTCCCTGTGCGCTTGAGAGGAGGGTATATTCTCTGTTATTAAAGTGTAGTGTTCAGTGTATACCCAAAAAGTCTACCTTACTGATTATTCATCTAAATCTTTTCTATCCTTACTTGTTTTTTGTCCATTTGTCTTGTCTCACACTGAGTGACCTGTTAAAGTCTCTCATTGTTCCTGTGTTTCTAGTTCTTACTGTGTTTCCTTTACTTTATGTCTTATCTAAGTGGTGGCTGTGTTATATGGTGCATAGAGTCAGAGTATTATATCTTTATTGTGGAATGCAGCTTTCACTTGAAGTGCCCTTTGTCTTATTTAATATGCTTTGGCTTGAAGACTTCCTGGTCTGATATCAGGATTTTAATCTGTGCTTTCTTACTGTTTTCATTTTCCTGGCAAATCTTTGCCCTTCACTTTATTAGTTGTCTTTTTGAATCAGTGCCATTTAAGTGTCCCCTTGAATACAGCATGGAGTTGAATCTTTTAAGAGCCGATATGAAAGTCCTTTTCTTTGAATAGGCAGGTTAAATCCCTTCACATTTATTGACAGACTGTTGTGTTTAGTCTAAGTTCTCTCATATTATTATTACATTATTATCTTGTGGTGTAATTTCTGTATGTATTATATTCTGTTTACTGTGTGTATTTGGTGTTTTCTTCTTTACTTTTTCTTTTTAAAATTCTTTTGTCACTTGAGAAGGTTTGTATTTTTATTCTAGTGGTTACCTTTGCATTAATACTTTTTATAGTGCACCGAAAACCCCCTTTTTTTCTTACTTAACCTTTTGTTTTTTGTCTGTTTTAAATGATATCCTTTGACAACCAGGGACCATCTTCTGCTTTCTCATTTTTCCTCTCTTCTCTTGCCATTTTTTTTAAAATTAAGATTATGATAGTTAACAACCATGTGAAATTACAGTTGTACATTATTATTAGTCATGTTGTAGGTACACCACTTCCCCCTTTGTGCCCTCCCCCCACCCCCCGTTTCCCCTGGTAACCACCGATCAGTTCTCTTTGTCTATATGTTAACTACCACCTATGAGTGGAGTCATACAGAGTTCGTCTTTCTCTGTCTGGGGCTTATTTCACTCAACATAGTACCCTCAAGGTCTATCCATGTTGTTGTGAATGGGACTTCTCTTCCCATTTTTAGTTACATCTGTTCTTCTTTGTTACACATATATACTTGTATATTATTCTTTAATGCCTTTACCCCACCCATGTTTTAGTCTCAACTCTTCAATTGAGTATTTAAATGTTCACCATCAGTCCTTTTGCAAAGTATTCCCAGTCATCTTTTTTTTGTAATGTTCATCTTTACCTTTGTTTCCAAATTTTTTCTGAAAAATTTAAAACCTACAGAAAAACCAAAGGATTTTCATCAGTTGTAACGCTTTCCCACATTTGCCAATGTTAATGTTGTTTTATTAGGATATGTTTCAGAGTTGATCAGTCTTGATCAATTTTCCCTAATATGAAAAATATGTAGTTCGGGTCTTTTTTTATTTCTAGGCAACTTTCTTGGATTATAGTTTTAATTAATACTTCTGTTTCATTGTTTTGACTTTTTTTTTTCAGAGGCACCAATTATGGTCAGCCTCCTTTGCCTGTCTTCCATTTCATTTGCTTCCCTTCCCACCCTGTTTACTTCTTTATCTCAGTTTTCATTCTTTTGGTTGTTCTGATTTTCTTCAATGCCTTTATTACGTTTTCATTATGATCTCTCCTTCCTTGTATACTTTGTAATTTGGTTTCCATTTCTTATATAATTTGTCTTTTTCTTCTCTTTCTTACCTGACTTCAGCCAACTCTCATTTCATTTCTTCTTGTTTGTTTGTTTGCTTGTTTGATTTGTTTCTTGTCCACTTCTGTTCTTTGGTTTTACATTTCTGATTCAAGGGTGATTTTTCATATCTCCACATGCTTGTTGGAGAATATTTAGTTCAGTTTGGAGTGTTACTGTTTCCTTGACTACGTATTTGTCTGTAGGGCAGCCAAGGGGGGTACTTTTCATCAGCAGAAAAGATTTTATTCACCTTTTCTAACATTTTATAGTAGTTTTGTATAGATGTGGTCTGCTTTAGTCTATTCCTGTTTTTCGTGGGCAGGATTCCTAGTTCGAGGGTGTCTTCTTCCGTGCGGTTTCTCTTTTGGATGGTGGTGGGAGAAGGAGGGTTGCCGTATGTTGCCTCTTTTTGTTTCTGCTGGTCCCTGAATTTCCCCTCTCATTTCCTCCTTTTCCTTTACTGCCATGACTCCAGGGGAGACCACTGCTTCTCTCTGTACCTGATTCTCCCCCAGAAACACTGCTTCTCCTAGGCTGCTACTTCTGGTCCCCTCCCACTTTCAAGCCCTTACTGCATAGCCAGGGCTGTAGACTGTCAAGTTCCAACCTATGCTTAGTATCCTGGCTTTCATTGTTCGCTTTCTGGGGGTGAGTTTGTCTGTGCTTCCTCTCAGCCTTCTGCTCCCCTCTGCTCCTGTTCAGTCTTTTCAGCTTCTCTCCCGTTCTCCTTCTCTCCTATGGCCTGCAGTGTTGGCAGGTGGACTGTGGGAGCTCTTTTAGAAAAAATTTTCCCTCTGCTTACAAATATTTGAAGGTTGCACTCTTCTCTGTCTTTTAGGGATGCTTAAAGTATGGAGCCAATGTGGTTTTATTTATTTGTTATCTTTATTGTTTTTACGGTTGTTTTCAAAGGATGAGGGGGAGATTTGGAATCAGGCCACTGCCGTTGTTCTCCAAACTCAGAAGTGTCGTCTTGGCCTAATCTAAACTTATGAGCACTTTTTGATATCAAAGCAGTTTTTCCACTTTTATTAATGATTTCCAAATTGCTGATTTGTGATTTTTTTACTAATTTGCGACTTTTTACTAAGGAGATATTTTCTTTCATTATTTGACAATGTAACTTTATAAGAGACTTGAGAAAAAACTGTGCCCCAAATCAGAATGCTAATTATCATAATAATTAGAGTATTAGTTTTTGATTTTCAAGTTGTCTTTAATAAGCGACTTGGCCATTAAAATCAACAATTTTTAGAATAAGATTCTATTCATCTATTGCTTTTATATAATAATAAAATATTTCTATATAATATTTTCTTGGTGAAAAATTACTACTAAATTTCAAATATGAACAATGTCATTTCCTATTCTGTGAATTTTTTTCACATAATGCCTTATTAATAAAGATTGAATCTCTGTCTTTTATAGATAAGAACTAAAAGAGCCAAACAGGGAAGCATTCATACTTCAAGATCTCTAAGAACAGGTAGCAATATTTAATATGGAACCAAAGTCTTGTGAATCAAATAATGAAGATCTTTTATCAAGTAGTGGCATCACATCCAATGGAGGTATGTATTCTTTATAGAACAAAATGGGAAAAAATTAGAATTAAGCAGTCTTCATAATATTCATTCAAACTGCTGTTTTTTAGTATGTTTTCGTTTTAACTGTGCTGGGCACAGACCTTGGTCATGAATGTTTACCATGTTGTTTGTAATTCTACTTTCTGAGGAAGAAATTGTTTAGTCTTTTAAAAATAGCATATCTGTTTCTTAGCGTATGTTTACATTACTTTTTTGGTTTAAAAATTGTCTCCATGTTGAGGCACTTCAACACATTCCATGTTTCCCTAACGTCTTCTCTTCCTCCGTCCACTCTAAGCCAGAATTTGTATCGTTTTCCCTTATCCACTCCCACATCCAGTCAGGTACCAAGTCCTGTTACTTCTATTCTCAGAAATGTCTCGAATCCATTTTTCTCTTTCTGTTCCCATTACTGCTGTCCTACTTCAGGCCCCCATCAACTCTGACTGAAATTATTTCAGTCAAGAGATAGTCAGGAAAACAGAAACAGGTGGAATAAATAGGCAGAACTTAATACAGGAACTCTGTAACACAGGTGTTGAAAAAGCTGAGAAGTCTCGCAGGGAATGGGTAAGACAACCCAGAGATTACAAACTGCAGGAAGCTGCTACCAGCCCTGGGGCTAGAAGGACCATGAGAAAAGAAACTGTTCTGAGGACATAGAAGCAGGAGCTAGAACCACAGAGAGGGCTGCCCAGAGGGATTAAGCCACCACTAACAGGAAGCCCATCTGAGGCAGGTGAGAAGGAGCAGTACCTTAGCTTCTCGTCTCCTCCTGCCTTCTCATTGTTCGCCAGCGCCTCCTATGGTGAACCTACCAGGAAACGAGTTGGGAAGAGAGCCTGGGAAAAGTAGTTCTCTACACCACACAGCAGACTAGGGGAAAGACAGAGAAGGGATTTTCTGGCATTCAGGCAAATGGCCTGCACAGTCTTGACTGCTTTCCCTGTCTTGTCTCTCTCATCTAAAAGTATGCATCCAGAGTTTATTCTCAGTTACAGGTCTGTTGTTTTACTGTTCTGCTTAAAAACCTTTATTTTAGCAGCCTTATTTTGCAAAAGCTTCTGCTTCTCCCATCCAAATACTAACCAGGCCCTATCCTACTTAGCTTCCGAGATCAGACGAGATCGGGCGCGTTCAGGGTGGTGTGGCCGTAGACAAGCTTCTCCTTCTTAGGATGCTCTTCCCATCCTAAGATGCCATTGTCACTTCCGCCCCACTATACCCATCTGCCCTGCCCACTTCCTCACCTCCCCACTTACACTATATTCCTCATACTCATCACGGGCACTGGCACTTAGCTCATGGGTTGTCTTTGCTTCCTCAGGCACATTGTCATCTGGTAATATCATTGTCCTCATGGATGACCTGTCTAAGATCTTAGACCCACAGCTTCTTGACCTTTCTAGTTATTATCATTTTGACTTTTACTCTAGCCACCCACTTTCATATCTTGGCTCTATCCTCTGGACTGTTGGGTCTGATTTTGAGTCCTCCTCCCTTTTGCATGAAAGGTAGCATATGTTTTCAGCTGAGTGGTTTTCTCAGCCTGCTTATAGAAAAGCTTCTCTTCATTTCACACTGTCTCTGTTCCTCAGTCCAAGCCAGTGGTGTTTCTTGACTGTAATTCTCTAAAATCTTTGTGGGTCTTCTGTGAATCATACTGGGTTTCACTTACTTTGTCTTCCCTTTAAATATCGGAATTTCCTCAGAGTACTCTTCTTAATCCTCTTCTCTTTTCACTCTTTACACTGCCCCCAGGTGATCCCATTGACTCCAGAGATTCACTGGAACTCATATGCTGATGATTCCTGAATCCTTATCTCTGAAACAAAACACGCTCCTGAACTTCAAGTCCATGTACAGTATTTGCAAATCAAACATCATTACTTGGATGTTGCTGAAGCTCAAAACCCACGAGAAATCTTTGACACCTCCGTCTCTCTTACTTACCACGTATATTTCTCAAATCCATGCTCTTGTATCTATCACCACTGCCTCTGCTCCAAGACAGACTCTTGCCACTTCTTGCCTGTATTGTTGAAAGCTTTCTTCCACTTAGATTCTCTACCTTCAGTTTTTTCCCCATCCAATGCCTTTTCCACACTGATGCCAGAGAGCCTTTTCAAACCACAAACCTAGTTATAATACCCCCCTACTTTCAAGTCCAGTAATGAGTCCCCAGAGCTTTCAAGATGAAGTCTGAAGTCCTTGGCATGACCACAAGACCCTTCATGATCTGACTTATATTTTCATTCTCATATCTGGCTGCTACTTTCCTTTCACCTGGAATATGCCATGCTTTCTCAAGCCTCTTCACCAACAATTATGGTGCTCCCACTGCCTGGAATGCTCTTCCTCTTCTCCTGTCCTCCATACTAGTTAATTCTTGTTCAACAATACTTCAGAGTTCATTCAGCTCAAGCGTCACTCGAACACTGTCAAATATCCCTTCTCCTCCCTAATCCTCCTTTTTACCTTGTGCTCATCTCTCTCAGAGCTCTCACCAATCTTTCTCTTGTCTGTTTTCCCCATGATGCCTCGGGCTCCTCAGGGTTCAATAAGGGAATCATCTAGGATAATGTTTGCCACAACGTTATTTCATAAGTTAATTAATTGATTAATTCTTTAATATTTAGGTTCAAGTCCATTTTTTATATCATCTATTCGTGGTACAATAATTGAAAACACAGCTTCAGCTGGGACATTGACACAAATTCCTTTTTTCCCTAAATATGAAGTGGAACTTGATTCTCATAGAAAAGTCGTCCCTTACCCTGGAAAAGAGCACATTGAACGTGTTTTAGAAGAGTACTCCCATCAAGTCAAAGATTTGCAGAGAAGACTAAATGAAGTGAGTTGCATTTTTACTTCTAGTACCTGAGGCTATTTTGGGATGACAGTGAAGCACGTTGCGTTGGAATAGAACCTAAACTTCCTGGAAGAAAAACTTAACTGGTTAAACTTGTTAATTTGGCCTATGCCTTCTATTTCAGTATTAAAAATTGGACTGATGAAAAGTCTACATACCTATTTTTCTTTTGTTAATAATTAGTCATAATGCATTGGTTTCATGGTTAATTTTAATGAAATTTGAATAGCTCAAAATGTTATAATTAATGACATTCGTCTGTAATTTTGATTAATAATTGGTTCAGGCCTGCTGTTCTCCTATCACAATACCTGGTTTTTCTATACAAAGCAGTGGTAGGAATAAGTTTTTAGATACATGTGTATACATGATAGCTACATAGTATATGGAAGTTATTTGCTAAAAATTTCAAGAGGACTGTACGTAGAATCAAGCTGGCTATAGCCAGCTTTACAGTTGCATGTTGGGTCCCAGTAGTCTACAGCCTAAAAGTCAAACTTACCATCGGATACGAGGCACTTCATCATATAACCTCCCCTTGTACATTTGAGCCTTATCTGCTACCTGTTCCCCATATGTTCCCTCCATTCCAGGGATATCAAGTTACTTGCTCTTCCCTGCATGTACCATGCTATTCTAGACCTTCATGCCTTTGCCCGGGCCATTTCTTCATCTTTACCTTGTCTGCCTGGCAAATTCTTATTACCCATCAAAATTCAGCTTAAGCATTTCCTTCTCCAAAGCCTTTCCTCTAGACAGCATTAGGTGTGTTCTCCGCTATATAGCCTGTGTGCACGTGTCTATTATAGTATTTAGTACATTTTATTGTACTCATTAAGGCATTGTTCTACCTCACGAGACTGTGTGAACACTTTGAGGAAAAAAGACTATAACTTTATTAAGTGCTGAAAATGATGTACTATTGAATTAAATGTAGGGGATACAAAGATGAATAAGATAGGATCCATAAAGAGTCCATAGACTTGAAGGAGAGCTAGTATATAAACAAATAGTGACAATACCTTATGGTAAGTACACTAATAAAGATGGATGAATGGATGGACGGACAGATGGACAGACATGGATGGATGGATGGATGGATAGATAGATAGATGGATGAAGCACAGAGGTACCAATGAGGGAAAGAAATGGTCTCTTAATTCACTTTCTATGTCCATCCTCTGACAGAGTATCTGACATTTGATTGACTCCCAATAAATATGTATTAAATCAGTTAAATAAATAACAGGCCTATTTGGGTACTTGTAATATTTAGCATGAACCTCCTATGTAACAGATATTGTTCTATGTACTGGATATATAAAGATGGAAAAGACATGGTCCTTTCCCTGTACACGTTTACAATCTTGTGGCTGAGATATTTAAAATAGAAAATGTTAGTAACAGTGAGATCTGTGCTACAGTAGGGGTAAGCAGTGATGCTAAATCCAATCTATGCTTTACATTCCTTATCTTACTTGACTTTTCAACAACATTTGACACAGGTGACTATCCTTTTCTTCTTGAAGCACTCTTTTCTAGCGGAAGCACTCTTTCTAGTTCTTATGGAAACATGCTCTCCTGATTTTCCTTGAGCTCGTTCTTTTTCAGTTTCTTGTTCCAGCAAAACCCTCCGTAGACAGTCCTAGTGATTCTCATGGCTTCTGTTGCCATTTATGCAGCAGTGAATGCTTAACTTATATTTCTAGTGCAGACCTCTTATCTTAGCTTCACACCAGTGAGTATACCCACATACTTACTTATATTTCTACTTGAAATGTTTCCCAGGCTCTGTAAACTCAACATTTCCAACTGTTTACATGATCTTTCCCCCAAACCTACTCTTCCTCCGGTATTCCTTCATAGTTGCACGAGGCAAAGACCTGATTCATTCCTAATACCTCTTCCTCTTCCCTGACGTCCACTTTATCACTAGGTCCATCCGGTGTACCTCATATATATTTCTCAGCTCTTTCCATTTCTACTGTTACCATCCAAAGTTCAGACTACTGTAGTCATTCATCTAGACCATAAAAGGTGAAGGTAAAGGGACTTACCTTATATTGACTACATAAACATTGTTCATTGCAGAATCAGGTGGTATCCTATTACATTTTCTTTCTTGTGTAACATTTTGTTTTTCTGGTGGTTCCTAATGCTTTTTATTTTCCTCATACTATTTGCCTTCATCATATCCTCATTTAAAAAAAAGAAAACTGTCATATAGGTTGTCTCTCAAATTCTCCATTGACCCAGGACTCTTCAGGAGTCTTCCGTCTTTTTTCCCAGTTTAGATGAGTTTCTCCTTAGGTCTGTTGTATAACTATTTTCCTAAGACTCCCATCACTGCCTTCCTGGTTGCACCCATGATTTCCAGGAATCACTGTTTCCTGTCTTCCTCTTTCTTGGTCTACTTCATGTAGTCAAAGCACATCGTTAGAAACTTAAAAAAGAGTAAATGGGACATACATTTTATGAATCTTGGCATTCTGAGAATGCCTTTAGTTGGATAAAAAAAGTCGTATTATCTCAATCCTTTGAAAATATTGTGCCCTTGCATTCAGTAATGCTGAGAAGTAGATGTCTGTCTGATTCTTGTTCCTTTATAGAGAGATGTTTTTACTTAATTGAGATTCATCTTTGGAAGCTTTAGAGTCTGCTCTTTATCTCTGAAATTTCACCATAATGTGCTTAGTTGTGGATTTTAGTTTTTTTACTCAATGTGCTAGGGATTCAGTGGCTCCTTTTGGTCTGCAGATTTGTGCCCTTCAGGTTTAAGGAATTCAGTTGTGTTTTTTCTTTGATAGTTTTCCCACTTCTCTCTTTCTGAACCACCTGATAGTCAGATATTATCTCCTAGGTTGAACCTCTGAATCTCTTACCTTTTCTTTCAGTTTTTTTGGTCTACTTTTTCTGCTTTTGGGGGACATTTCTTGACTTCCACAATTTCTATTGCAACTTTTTAGTTTGCAGACATTTTTAATTTCGACAAGTTCTTTCTTCTCCCCTGAGCACTTCTTTGGCATAGTATCCTCTTACTTTATGGCTGTAATGTCTTTCAGATTTCTCTGCAAATAGAAGTTTTAGGAAGTATTCTTCCATTGCTGCATTAAGTTTATTTCTGGATCTTTTTTTCTGGACGTTTGCTTGTCTGCTTCATCTTGGTCTCTGGGTTTGTTTTTTTTAACAATCTTCCTTCAAGTGTTTAGTGGTTTGGGGCTTTTTTGTTCATACTCAAGGATGAACAATGAAAAAGATGATGGCAAGCTCTCTGTTCATGAGCAGAACTTGGTGGCTCTGCTTTGCAATGATTAGATGGGCATCAGTTGTTATGCTGGGAGATCCCTCAGTGCCTGATTTTAGAGATCTTAGTGAATTTCTTTGTAGTAGAACACCTTGATTTTGGGTGGTGGTTATCTGCTGTCAAGTATTTTAAGTGGGTTGGAAGTGGGGGTTTACTTTTCTGTATGTAGAATTTTAACCAATTCTCCTGTTTTCAGGAACAAAACTTATTCCTATCTCTATCTTGAGCCAGAAGTCACATTTGTTTTAGAAATAGTGTTTTGGTTATAAAGTAGAGAATAGATTGAAGAGGGCAAGCTTGAGACGGTGAGACTAGTTAAGGTATTCCAGTAATCTAGGTGTGAATTGGTTAATTAAGCTCTGAACTATGGTGAAGGGGGAAGGAAGTACACATAAAAATAATAACATATAGTTTTTTTGAAATTATTAGCTATAAGGAAATATGTTCCTCTAGCAATGACTAATTTGCATGGCATTTTTTTCAGAGCAATGAATTGCATGAGAAACAAAAGTTTTACTTAAGGCAGTCAGTCATTGATTTGCAAACAAAACTTCAAGAGATGCAAATGGAGAGAGATGCCATGGTTGACATCAGGTTGGGATTTGTTACCTGAAATTATTTTAAAGTTTTACTCTTTGTAGTATAAAGCTACTTGTGTGAATATGAATTTTATCAGTATTATTTCTTCTCTTTCATTTACTTCATAGACGAAGGGAGAGTCAGTCCCAGGAGGACTTAAGAAATCAGCTTCAAAATACGGTTCACGAACTTGAAGCTGCCAAATGCCTTAAGGAGGACATGCTGAGAGATAGCACCACCCAGATAGAGCAGCTAAGAAGGACGATGCTTGGTCATGAGGGAGTGCTTCAAGAAATCCGGTCAATCCTAGTTGACTTTGAAGAAACCTCAGGCAAGAAAGTCTACGAACACGACAGCATGGCCACTCTCCACTTCCGCAGCTTGGGCACAGCCATTAGTAAAATCCTGAGAGAATTAGACACAGAGATTTCTTATCTTAAAGGGAGGATATTTCCAGTAAGTGGTGAGAACACTACTTCAATTTTATATTAAAATTCATTAAGAGAATAGTATTAGGTGTATAATTTTTTAAGTTCTTGAAAGTAAGCCAAGTTTTCATTTTTGTTCTCTAAAATGACAGAAGTTACTTCCACAATGATCTCTCAGTAAATAAAGGGAATTAGCTTGGTTTGCCTGTATAGCTTCATGAGAGTGTAGCCAAAGTAAAAGATTTAATGAAATACAGTGATAGGAGGTATCTCATTTTCTTGTTCTATTTGCATCTTTCTAAAGCATTCCTTTAGTTGGAAAATGTCTAAATTTTCCAAGCTTTACATTCATCAGTCCCTAAATCAACATTTCTTTTTTGAAACCAGGTAGAGGATCAGCTTGAAGCACTGAAATCTGAATCACAGAGCAAAATAGAACTACTTCTTCAACAACATCAAGATAGGTAGGTTTCTGACTGGAGTATAGTCATGTGCTGTATAATGACGTTTCAGCCAACAATGAACCACGTGTGTGTCAGTGGTCCCATAAGATTAGTACCTTGTAGCCCAGCGAGTAGTGGGCTATACTGCCCAGGTTTGTGTATGTACACTCTATCATGTTCGCACAATGACAAAATCGCCTGACAACGCATTTCTCAGAACGTATCCTTGTCGTTAAGCAATGTGTGACTGTATAGAAATCATAGTGAAACTAAACGTCAGATCCGCAGTCCCTCATCAGCAATTCCAAAATCTAAAAAGCTCTGAAACACAGAATTTTTTTTCATAGGTTTGTGGCAAATTCATGTTAAAGAAAAAATTATTCTGGCAGTTGTTAAAATGGTAAGGAAGACTTTATTCAAGACTATTGCAGTAGGAATTTGCATTAGGGAAGAGAGATCAGGCTCAACTCCCAATACAACCAGGAAAGTGGAGGTTTATAGCCAAGGAGCAGGGTCAGGGGGTCAGTGGATGGAAAATCACTAAGAGGAGACATCGGGGTGGGGGGATTCTCCTAAACTGACTTAACAGGATTCTTACCAAGCCTGGGCAAGACAGGCCAAAGTTGGGGAGGCGAGGGAGGAAGGGTGCCAAGGTCAAAGCCTAGTAGAGGCTCAGAGGAGCCTGCCTAAAGTTTGGTCAAGGAGAGAGTCTTTGTCACTCATTTGTTGGCAAAACCTGACCTGAGCTAATATAAAGCTATTTATCGTCTTTATGGTTTAGTGTGAATATTTAAAAACCTGTTGTTGCATTAGTAATATGTTTGGCTTGTAGGACACTTCCCTAGGAGTGTCATATAATATATAATGCTTGTAATTTATCATCATTGTAAGATTTTTTGAAAATCTAAATTCCAAAACCTAGCTGGCCCCCAAAGGATTTGGATAAAGGGTTCTGGACCTATCTTAGACACTTCTCATAAAAAGAGTAGCATATTCAAAGCCAAAAGAAAATACTTACTTTAAGAGTGTTGAAAGTTATTAATTTCTGAAATAATTCATAGGGAAAATCTTGTGTATCAAATAATAGTCATCACATTCTTTTTATAGGATTGAGCAGTTAATAAATGAACATGAAATTGAAGTAACAGGACTTACTGAAAAAGCTAGCAGTGCTCGAAGCCAAGCCAACAGTATCCAGAGTCAACTGGAAATCATTCAGTATGTGTGTCCTGCTGGTTTGAAATTGGTAGTCATTTATCTTCATTTTAGAGATATTATTTTAATTAAATTTTCTGCTCTAAAATTTTTTAAAAATTGCTTAATAATTCCACAAGAAAGTAAAACTTTTCTAACATTCAAATGAACAGCAAAGATTATTTAAATGATAATATATGACCATATCAGAAGTTTTATTGCAAGTATTTGGGCCTCTTGGAATTAGATGTTTTAAATATTGTTCATATTTCAACTGATAGGATAAATCAAAGACACCCGCACTATATATATATGTGTGAGTTATGAATATACATAAATAAAATGTATATATATGCATATAAATAATTTTATAATTTGAGCTTGTGTGTTGAAACTTTTTATATGAACATTTTCAATTGTGCACAAAAGTAGAGAGGAAATAGTACAAATGAACTCCTATATACACATCACCCAGCTTCAGCAGTTAACATTCTTGAACTGAAGCTTTGAAGAAGCAATTTTGGAAAATTTTGGCCTAGTAATGCCATAGAAAATAATGAGTGGAAGTATCTAAAAGCTGGAGAACACTTAGGTATTACACTTATTCTTAGCTTGCCATTTGTTTTTATTCTCCCTTTAAACCCTTCTTAGAGAACAAGCAAGAAACCAAAATTCAATGTATATGCGTCAACTAAGTGAACTGGAATCTACTGTTTCTCAGCTACGTTCTGAGTTAAGGGAAGCCAAAAGGATGTATGAAGACAAGGTGAGGTTAGATTTTGCTGCTCTGCTTCCAGAGACTATTATACACAGAACCAATTATATACTTTTTATTTTGGTGAGGAAGATTGGCCTTGAGCTAACATCTGTTGCCAATCTCCTCTTTTTTTTTTTCCTTCCCAAAGCCGCAGTACATAGTTGTATATCCTAGCTGTAGGTCGTTCTAATTCTTCTATGTGGGATGTTGCCACGGCCTGGCCTGATGAGTGGTGTGTAAGTCCGTGCCCAGGATCTGAACTGGTGAACCCCAGGCCACCGAAGTGGAGTGCATGAACCCAACCACTCAGCCACGGGACCAGCCCCCCAATTATATACTTTTTAATGGAATACTTGAAAATGATGAATCAAAGTAATAATTTCAAACTAAAAGCAGTTTATAAGGTGGAGTAGGAGGATGTCAAAATGTTAAATTATAAACAATTTTAATTTAAATTGTTGCTCAAATTCATTCTCAGATAAAATGTTGCATATTTCAGGTAAGTTTCTAAAAGTAAATTTAAAAATAAGGCCATTTAAATTATTTTTACAAAGCTTAGCTTTAGCAAATACTTTGGTACCAGCTGGTCTCTCCCTACCACTCAATACTTTAGGGGCCTTCCTTCTAGCTCTTACTTCAACTCCCAATTATTATCGTGTGGCTAGCAAACTGAATTAACTTCAAGACTGGTCTAAATAAAAATAATTAGGAAGGTAAATCTTCATGGCTCATCGCACAATTCCTCTTAAAACCAGATATTAATTAACATTTGATTCTGTCGTTTTTGTTCTCTCACTTTCCACAGCTAAAGGGGAGCTATTCACTATCATTATCAATCATTTATCCAGAACTTATGCTTCTATTCATTTCAAGCATTTATGAAACAGTAGAGACCCTAAAAAAACAAGTGAAGAGCTACCTTTCAGAGGGGCTTGTGTTCTTTGTTCCCTAGGAGAAGGGTGATCATACAGGCCCATTTGGTGAGACAGTCCCAGTTTACACCTGCTATCCCAGTGTTCTGTTTTGTTAAACCACCTTTCATCTCTAAAGTGTCGCAGTTTGGAAGATAAATTCCATATGTAGTTATCCTACATGTAAGAGAGTCTACAATTCTAACCATTGCTTTTAGCCAATTTCTCACATCTTAGCTGATTGGGAAGAAATAGAGTATAAGGAAGCTACCAGATTTTCTTTATACAGTAACCCAATTCTACAGAGTAACAGTATGAGAAGAAAGCTTCACATGGGAAGAAGCAGTTGAATATTGCAGCTTTCATTTTTCCAGGCATTTGGCCTCCTTTGGGCCACCCCTCATTGAATTACCACTGTTACCCCTGGGCTGGCCACAGGAGGAGGCTGTTCTTCCTCGGTTCTCTAGTTCGGGCACAGAAGGAATGTAAGACCTTGACCTTATTCCCTGTGGCCCAGCTAAAATAAGAAGGAAATTTTAGACATAGCTTTACTAAAGTCTAAACAATAAAGAGTAACATGAAACACTGTAATCTCAGTTATGAGATTTGGATCCTCTACAGCAGTGGCTTTCCAACATTTTTGATCACTACTCACAGTAGGAAATAGTTTACCTTATTATCTAGTGCACACATCTAGCTGAAGCAAATTTTACTCCCTTTATGTATGACACTGGCTATTTTTTGTTCTCTTCAGATGCTGATTTTTGATGCTCACTAAATGATTCATGATTCACTGGTGGGTTGCAGTTTGAATAACACTACCCTACCAAACCCTTCTTAGCTCTTAGCCTAAATGTTTGTGTCACGGTCATTTCAACCACTGTCCCCTAGGAGCAGTTTTAAGGAACCTTCCACTGCCTAAGGGCTAAACCCAAGAAACAGAAGCCTGGAGAGAAACGTTTCTGCTTTTCTGCTTCTCCGAGGTCTGCTTTTTGTGTTCTAGCTTTTTTTCCTCAGGATGAGCTTTTCCTCTGAAGATTGACAGCAGGAATGTCCACCCTGTTCTGGGCAGACCAAGACTACACAGAAGGTCTTGATCTCGCCCTGCGGGATGGTCACGATTTCAGTACAGCCTAGGGTGGAAGGAGGCTTTATCACTCGTCTCTGGTGAAGGCTGGCAGGTGGGTGGAAGGGCGCGCTGGTGATCTGACAGTGAGAGAGGAGCTAGGAGAGCTGTTGTGTTACAGTCCAGCACAATAACTGATATTCATCACTACCCAAACCATTCTGAAAAGATGAAATATTCACTGTTCATTGACAAACTCTTTGAAAAGCCACAAAGTGCTAAATAAAACTCAACTCACCTCTGTTTTCTTACATAATTTGAAATTGCTATAGCTTTCCATTGTAATATTAGTTGGAAAAATTGTGCCTTCATAAGCTATCACCCATTATTTGCTAGTTTGCTTATGGTCTGATACATAGCATCATGCTGATCAATTATAAATTTAGGCATGGTAGGAAATTTTAACAAATACTGAAACATCCATCTAGAGAATACAAAAATAGTGATTGAGTTTTTATAAATATTTATCTCTTTGGCATTGTAGAAGTATAAGCAGCCAGATGAATGAGTGCAAACTTTTTTATATCAATGTTTTGAGGTTATATAGATAAATGATAATGCATAAAGATATGCTGTTAGAATCATTATCTTATTGTGCTCTAATGTAAACAGTGGATCACCAAGAATTTTGATAGTCTCAAATACACAATGTTTAATAGAAGTAAGGGAGGATATAACAGCTTAATTAATTTTAATCTAGATCATTGAGATTTATAATACAGCAGTTTGAACCTGTTCAAGTTGGCACCTGGTTGATGCTTAACTAGGCTCTCTTAATAGTAACTCCCCTTAGTCGGGGAACACTGAGAGGTAATTATCTTGTCATGTTCATAGAGAGTTGAATATACTCTGGCCTGAAATGGCAGTAATACATGGTGTAACTGAGCAAGGAAGATCGAGCCATTTAACAAAAGGATTTCATTTTGGAGTCATGAAAAATTCTATTGTTATGAAATGTTTTTGTTGTAATGAGTTGAATATAAAATCTAAAAAACACAGATTTTTCATTTCTTTCATTTTCATATACTTTGACTTTACATTGCTAAAGCCTATTAAAACTTTAAAATCTATTTTATTTTCTGCTGCTTCAGTGCACATTTTAGTATATACTGTCCAAATAACAATAAGGAAAAAAATCAAAGAAAATAATACGTAAAGGCTGTGATTAAAAATAAGCTTTGTGTGAAAAGAAATTTATAAGAGAGTGTTGATATTATTATACATCAACATACTTTATGAGAAACAGTGTTAGTATTTTCTCCTAAGGTCACACTCCTTCAGAAAAAAAGTGTTTATTATTTTAAACAATTGATGACATGACAGGTCTGAACAAAACTTTCCCAACTAGAATGCATGAATTTAGAGAAAACTCATTTAGGAGGTCATTGTTTCTCTTCAGATTAACAAAAGTATTTTCAGATTGATGAAAATAGAAATTGGGTTTCAAGGAAAATTTTAGACATAGCTTTTGTAGCTTACGAAAGTGTTTTACCGTAATGCTTTTTTCTATTCTTCTTTTTCCATTTTAGGAGAACCTCCAGAATTCCCCTTTACGAATTTGGACGAGTAGAAGCTGTCACTATTGGCTCTGTAGATTTGGCTTTACTCTTAACTTTCGCTTTTTGACAACAAAAATATCCTGTGTTCTTGTTTATATGTTTATTTTTCCTACTTTGAAAGCATTTGGGGCTGAATTTTATACTCAAAAAGTAAAGATTTAGTAGCACTGGCTGGAGCTGTATTCTGTGCAGGAAGATTCTGTGCAAACCTTTTTGCATAGTTCTGCCAATGCACCTCTGTGCTGATCTGCAGCATTGCTTACTATCTGCTATCTGTGTCTTTCTGAGCATAGGAAACAAGAGGTACAATTTGGTGTGATTGGTAATATCTCTAAAATCACTATCAGATAAGAATGAGATCCCAATACTTATTTGTCCAGTGATCCAAAACAGAAATTGATTCATAGATGGTGAAAGGGAAAACCAGTGCTGCTATTTAAAAAGAAAAGAAAAAGAAAAAACTTTTACTATATCTCAGATGTCAGTATTTATTCTGGACATTTTAAAAGGCTTTTCTTTATAGTGTTTTGTACAGCTGTTTGTATCAGCTCAGCTGCTACTTCAATGGTTTTCCCTTTCACTCTCTATTTATTTTTTTGATTGGTTAATTAATCTACATATTTTTACACTAAAAAGTGAAAGGTAAAAGCAGAGCTATAGCAGTTGAGTCAGTACTGACAACTACAAAACCAACATGTCTCTAGGGGTCTGGAGGAACTTCTGATACTTAATAACCTTAGATGGAAAGATAAGACTTGGCTCTTTTCTTTTTCTTTTCTTTTTTAAATTTTGGTCTCATAGATTTTACCATCAAGTTTGATATTATCAAATGGTCATCCAGAATTTTTTAAAAAATGAAAACAGACATAAAATAGCAAGTCTTAATTTAAGCTTTTAAAGCACATATACAAATACTTTGCTCAAAGATAGAAGTGGTTTTATGCCAGGCCAGGAGTAGAAAATGTTTTTAGTCATATGATGCAACTTCTCAAATTGAAAGTGTTCTTGTTAAATTTATAACTCAAAATGTGATTTCTTTGACCATGTTTTGTTTCCAAAGACAGGTGGAAAATACAGAATTTCAACTTTATTAATACTGTTCTTCTCATATAAAAAAGTATTAGAAGCAGAATTGAAAGGAATTTGAAAGATCACTTTTCAATACTCTTTCAAAATACTCTTTTCAAACTATAGATGAAAAAAAATTGAGACTCAGTGAGGTTATGTGACAGAACCTGGATCAGAGCCTAAGGTGTTTGACTCTTAGTCTGATCATATTGCCTCTCTGATCACGTTTGTCTGCCCAAAGTAAAAGTTGGTGAGTTTTTTCCTAAGTATTCCTAATGTCCTTAGTAAGTCTGTGCTGACTTAGTTTTTCTCAAAAATAATAGAGCTGAAGAGATTATATCAACTGTACTGTTCATTCATTTTTCTTAGGAAGCTATTTGTGCCATAGAGGTTGAATTGTTGTGGAGCTTTGTTCTATATATGCCCTCAGAAAAGCACAAGAGTGAGAGTACTTCTTTATAGGATTACTAGAATCTATTAGGACATTTCTATCTAGTAACCTAACGTTTTATGTATATCTTAATACTTGTGAAATAATTTTTTATATATAACATACAACCAAATACAAAGTCAGTTTTACAATATAGCCAATGTAAATATTAAAATTTATACTCTGATCCCTGTGAGCTGTGATATTACTCTGTAGGTAAATGTGAAACTGTTTGATAGTCCTATGTTAGCCCTTAAGTCGTATACGTATGTGTAGATAAAGAGATACATATAATTTCTATGTATTCTTATTTATTAAAGAGATAGTTGCATATATGTGTGTGTATATAATGTGATTAATAAGTATATGTTGAATTAACAAACGAAGATCTTAAATGAACCTAGTCCAGGTGAAAATAGAGTCATCAAGAAAAACTTAGCTTTGCTCATATGTTCTTTAAGAAGATTTCATCACAATTTGTCATCCAAACAAATCAAGAAGTTTTGTTCTTGACATAGTAGATTTGGAAGCCTGTTGAATAGAAGCCTTAGAAGTAAGAAGGAATATGTAGCATTTATGCGGAAGAGTTCTTATTGGTGGAAAGTGGATGATGATGGTATTGTAGGTATCACATTAAAGATCAGGTATCACTATATAACTCTTAAGTATCAACATGTTCTCAGTATTTTAATATCTCAGTATCTAAATTATGAATTTGTGTGGCTAAGCCAAAATCCAAACCCAGAGTCTCCATCATCTGAGATGTTAACCTCTTAGCCTACACATTAAGAGCTATAGGACTGCCGTTAATAGTGGTGGGCCTTCTGGCATACGTCATGAAAGTGCATAGTCACACAGATCAAACAGCTGCCCTGTCCATGAGAGAAAAATATACCTATAACAATCTTTTAAAATTGGTACTCCTACCCCATTTTATAGTTGAAGAAAATAAGGACTGGAATGTATAACGTGTATATGAATATATTAATGTATCTAATACATATATCTGAATTCACTCATCCTTTCAAAATAGTGACTATGTAATAATCTAAAACTAAACTAAACCTTGATATTACCATTCATCCTTTTATATTCAATGGCTTTTTATTATTGAAACTCTGATATTCTGAAACAAAATAGCTCTTCTAAGTATAATACAGTTCATTTGTGTGGGCTCTGAAGAATGTTGTTTATGCCACATCAAGCTTCCTAAAATACCAAATTACAGAACACTCACAGAAGATAAATCTTAGTGTGAAAATGAGAGAGAAGCATTACAGACAATGCCTGCATCGAACCGTACCAGATAGTTCATTTTGACTAATTTCCCTGGCTAAGTTCTTCATAGATCTTAAGTTTAGAAAACTGCAGAATGCATCACAATAAACTTTTATTTTTGACCCTAAAATAATACCCTTTGTTTTCCAAAGACTATATTTATTTTACGTTACCCACTGACATGGTCAGACTGTTTGATTTGTGCTTTCCTTTTAGATAGAAGAGCTGGAGAAGCAGTTAGTCCTTGCCAACTCGGAGCTAACTGAGGCACGGACAGAACGTGATCAGTTCAGTCAGGAATCTGGAAATTTGGACGATCAGCTTCAAAAGCTGTTGGTAAGACTATGCTTTAAAATAATGAATGAAATTAATTTGGGGAAGTTTTTCACCAAAATATTTCACAAAACTGGTTTCATTTATAAAATTACAAATTTTACAAAGTATTCGTGCATGCATGCACAATAGAATTTCCTAGATATTATTCAAAATTTGCATATAAAATATAACATTCTATGCTTTACCTGTTTTTTTCCTTAAGCAGAACTGTTATGGCTTAAAAGTTAGGTGAAGCTGATCTTCAAACAGCTATTGTCTTCCAATTAGATACTGTATTCTGCTAAATTGAAGTAGTGTTGAGCGTTCATTTCAAAGCCAAATAACATTCAAAACTTATACAAATTATGTACAGTCAGGCACTGCATAATGACATTTCGGTCAACAACGAACTGCATATATGACGGTGGTCCCGTAAGATTAGTACCATACAGCCTAGGTGTGTAGTAGGCTATACTATCTAGGTTTGTGTAAGTGCACTCTGTGATGTTTGCACCACGACGAAATCACCTAATGATACGTTTCTCAGAATGTATCCCCGTTATTAAGCAACATATGAGTGTATTTGGAAAATTTGAATGGAAGTTTAGGTAAAAATTTTTTCAGAAAGAAAGAAAATGGGATTCTGATAATAGTGAACCATCTCTGCCCTCTGTTAGAGGTACCAGAGGCTGAGAAATTTAGGAAAGGAAATGTTTGGTACCCTTTTGTGTGCTATCAGTGGTACAGTGGAATAAATTTCTCTGTTACTACCAGACCCCATTCTAGGGTATAGCTCTCTGTGCTGGTAAAGCCGTCCTTCACAGGCTCGACAAGGGACTTGATGAGCATGTGCGAAAGGTAGAGCTGGCAACTGTGTGTAAGAAGCTCCAGACCTTGGGATAATCCTTCATTTCTTTCCCTCCTGTTGTGTGTTTCCCAGTGTCCTCATATCTGATTTGAAAATCTTGGAGATTAAATGTCTTACAGGTCCTCACCCGTCCCCTCCTTTTCATTCTTACCACCACTGCCCCTTTGTCCTAGCCCATGAGTACACCTGGAAAATGACAATGTCTCCATACTAGGGTCCCTAATTCCAGTTTCTGCCCTCTTCAATCCAGTCTGTAAAGTGCAGCCATATTCATCTTTCTAAAATATAACTCTGATTGTGTCACTCTTCAACTCAGAAATTACCTTACCCATAAAGTCAGACTCCCTGCCATTCAAGACTGTTCACTATCCGGCCCCAGCTTACCTTTCTAGCCCTTTCTGTGTCTCCATACCCAGTGCTCCAAGCAAACCACACATGCCCCTTTCCAGTCCGTTCTTCCGAATCTCTGCATCTCCACGCTGTTCTCATGGCCCAGCACAGATGCCTTATTGAAGCATTTTGATCTCCTTAGTGATTTCTCTCTGCTGTTCCTTAGCTCTGTTTCTTTAATGAAGAACCACTTCCAGTTATTTGTGTCTGTGTCTTGTCTTTGTCTTCGGGTGATAAGTCGTTTAAAGATCTCTGTGTCTTTGTTTCTCTTTTGAGTTTTTGCTAACAGTAAACACTCACTGTGTATTTTTTAGTGACTGAAGAGGGAGATAATTCTATTCACAGCCCAACACTACTCCAATCCCAGTACCAGACACTATTCTGCCATTTCTGAAGCAGTAAACCAATTACTATTGCTATTCCTTCGAGCTTTTGAGCATTTCTTTATTACAGGAGCACACTTGATGTAAACATAATGCCTTTGTTAGAAAATTTAAAACCTAAAAACAGGAGGACTTTTAAAATCTACTGTATTTTCCTTTTCATTATATGTTATTTTGGGTCTAGTTCATTGAGATTTACTTATAATGCTAGAAATTACAACTAAGCAAAATATTAACTTATTTTTCTAGGAAGTATTTGTTCTTAAGCAAGCCATTAAAAGGGAATCAGATTCCAAAATCAAAGGCTTCTCAAGTCACATAAAAACTCCAAAGATAATAAAAGGAAAATAAGAGTTTTATTTTAATTATTTAATACTAGGGGGGAAAAGCATTCCTCACTTCTTGTAGGCTGATCTACATAAAAGAGAGAAGGAGCTGAGTCTGGAGAAGGAGCAGAATAAGCGCCTGTGGGACCGGGACACTGGCAACAGCATCACCATCGACCACCTGCGGCGGGAGCTCGACGACAGGAACATGGAGGTGCAGCGCCTGGAAGCGCTCCTCAAGGCCTTGAAGAGCGAGTGTCAGGGCCAGATGGAGCGGCAGGTCAGGCAGGGCACGGCATGGCTTCTGCAAGTGGTCTCTTCTGGGGGAACAATGTATTTCATGTCACTGGAAGAGGGTTTTTTTTCTTGAACATGTATAGGCCTAAAATAGCTCTAAAGTAGAGCTATGGATTCTATGAACAAGATAGAAAAACCTGTTATTCATTTCTATATTTTTGACAACGTGTTAAATTAAGAATGTTAAGCTTTGTCTCATTTTTATAGGTTGTTGAGTAATGAGACTCCCATCCAATTACCTGTTCTTTTTCACCTAGAAATTGGTGACCTAATAATTATTTCAGAAGAGCATCAAACTGTAGGGAGAGCTGAGGAACAGCAAGGTTGAAAGTTTCCAACAATTTTGTTTTGTTTTGTTTCTGTTTTTCCCCCAAAAGAGACTTTCCCCTCCTTTTCCCGCAAACTGCTTGAGACTGCTATATACACAGGCTGCGGCCACTCCAATTCAGTGCACCACTAGTGAAATGTGGAATGCTTTAGTAACAGCAGTGTACCTTCAGTACTGGAGGGACATGGTTCCACTGCCAGTTATTGCCGCAGAGACTAAAAGGTGTCCCACAAGAGTAAGCTTCCCAGATGTGAAAGCAAACCAAAGGGACCAGTCTTGGCTTAGACCCAGGCAAAGGCAGTTTCCTATCCTCTGGCTCATGCTGGACAGGAAGAAAGGTGAAAGGAGCCACTGGAGGTTAGGATCTTACTCTTTTCCAAACAAGGACCAGAGAATGTGAATGTGTGTTGAATAAAAGCCATTATTCACTTTTCCCTCAGAGGTAGAATTAAGGGGCAGGTTGGAGAGAAATAGAAAGGACAGTTACCTGCAGTCCTATCACACTTTGCCCTAGTGCCAGTGTTATCCTAATTTAAACTGGCACTGAGAACATCCTCAGAGGAATCTTTCCAAGCTCCCCACCCCAGAAAGCCATTCTGGAGGAGCATTATTATTTAGTTAAGGTCTCTCCACCTGAGTCCGATGAACACTTGTTGGCATGTGGTCTACATGGCGTTATGGCATCAAATTGATTTGAGTTAGTCTAAGTAGATATTATCCGATTCATGATTTCATGTTTTTGAGCTGACTTGTTATATCTCTTGGGATTACCTCTACTTATCTGCCAAAATCCATAAAATTCTCTTTTCTTTAACAATCAGATGGCAGCAATTCAGGGAAAGAATGAAAGTCTAGAAAAAGTGTCTTCCTTGACTGCTCAGCTTGAATCCACCAAAGAGATGCTCCGCAAAGTAGTAGAAGAGTTGACAGCCAAGAAAATGACCCTGGAGAGCTCAGAGAGGACTGTATCGGACCTGACAGCTTCCCTCCAGGAAAAGGAGAGAGCCATCGAGGCTACCAACGCGGAGATCACGAAGCTGCGCTCCCGGGTGGACTTGAAACTGCAGGAGCTGCAGCACTTGAAAAACGAAGGGGATCACCTCAGAAACGTGCAGACAGAATGCGAGGCCCTCAAGCTGCAGATGGCAGAAAAGGACAAGGTGATCGAGATTTTGCGACAACAGATTGAAAACATGACACAGTTGGTGGGCCAGCATGGAAGAACGGCTGGCGCGATGCAAGTAGAAAAAGCTCAGCTTGAGAAGGAGATTAATGATAGGAGACTGGAACTACAGGAATTCAAGGTCTGTGGAGTTTTTTGGTGGTTTAGCTTTTGAAATATCTTTTTCCCTGTTATTAAATATGACCTAATTGACTGAAAAGTGGTTCTGTAAAGAGGATCTGTGCACACTGACATTGTTTGAAAGTATTTGTGTCTATGTGCTTATGTCTGTTTTGTGAGAAATGATCCATACTTTTATTAGATTCCAAAAGATTCTTTATTAGATTCCAAAATACTGGGGCCGGCTCTGTGGCCGAGTGGTTAAGTTTGTGCGCTCTGCTGTGGTGGCCCAGGGTTTGGATCCTGGGCGTGGGCATGGCACTGCTCGTCAGGCCACGTTGAGGCGGCATCCCACATCCCACAACTAGAAGGACCTGCAACTAAGATATACAACTGTGTACGGGGGGTTTGGGGGAGATAAAGCAGGAAAAAAAAAGAAAGGGATTCCAAAATACTCATACAACTGGCCCCGGAGCACAGGGGTTAAGTTCGCACATTCCGCTTTGGAGGCCCGGGGTTACCTGGTTCGGATCCTGGGTGCGGACATGGCACCACTTGACAAACCATGCTGTGGCAGGTGTCCCACATAGAAAGTAGTGGAAGATGAGCATGGATGTTAGCTCAGAGCCAGTCTTCCTCAGCAAAAAGAGGAGGATTGGCAGCAGATGTTAGTTTAGGGCAAATCTTCCTCAAAACAACAACAAAACACCCGTACAAAAGAGAAGTTTGATAATCTGACTTCTTTGTGGAGCCTTTCCTGATCCCACAGTTTGGAGTATTTTCTCCCTCCTCAGATAGACCTAAATTTGAACCCCATCTCTCAGCGCTCAGTAACTGTAAAACACTGGACCGTTTGCTGAATCTTGGCTTCTAGATCTGTAAAACAAAACGAAACCAAAAAACAAACAAAAGGAAAAACCTGCAGCAACCTTTTTGGGTTACTTGAGGCTTAAATGAGAAAATATATATGAAGGACTTGGCCTAGATCCTGGCCTGTAGAAGATGTTTAGAAAATATTAGTCCCCTTCCCCTGCTCCATTCTCTGTCTGAAGCTTTTCGCCCTTTATTTGCACCTACTGTAACCTGGATCACATTCTATGTTGCACTGTGTGTGTGTTTATAGCAGTGTCTCCTCTTCCTTATAAGACTGCAGACTTCTCCAGCAGGGGACACATCTTAGTCATGTTTGTCCCCCTGTCCCCTGGCTTTATGCCTTGCACCCAGCAGGTGCTCAGTAAATATTTATCACAATTAAAAACGATTGAATGAATTTTTTGAAAATTTTATTTCCAGGCCAGCCCCAGTGGCCTAGTCATTCAGTTTGGTGCAGTCTGCTTCTGTAGCCCAGCTTCAGTTCCCGTGTGTGGACCTATACCACTCGTTCGGGCCACGCTGTGGTGGCAGCTCACATACAAAATAGAGGAAGATTGGCAACAGATGTTAGCTCAGGGCAAATCTTCCTCAGGGAAAAAAAAAGATTTCTTAAGCTTTATGTCACCTGTATCTCTGACTTGGTAACTGATAGGAGACAAATCATATACAATTAATTTGTTTCTTTCAGTGTTACTGAGATATGATGGACGTACAGCACTGTATAAGTTTAAGGTATACAGCCTAGTGACTTGACTTACATGTGTTGTGCAGTGATTACCACAATAAGTTTGGTTAACATCCATCATCTCATATACCAAAAAAAAGGTTTTTTTCCTGTGATGAGAATTTTTAAGATCTCCTGTCTTAGCAACTTTCAAATATACCATACAGCAGTGTTAGCTATAGTCACCATGCTGTATGCTACATCCCCAATTCTTATTTATCTTATAACTAGAAATTCATACCTTTTGATCACCTTCTTCTGATTCCCCCTCCATCCCCTGCCTCCAGTAACCACAGTTCTCACATAAACTTTAGATGGCTGCGTTTCCTCATTCTAAAAATAGGGCCAACAATAGATTATTATCTATCTTATGGAGATATGCAAATTCATTACATAACGAACTAGAATTTTCTAGTGCATAAGGTTTTACTTGATTATCTCATAAGAATTTTTTTTAGTGGCCAGTCTCACCGTGAAAGAGACTTTCGAAGGCTTCTCAATGGCCGTCCCTTACAATGAAAACTTTAGAATAAGTTTGCAGAACGTTATTAGAGGAGAAGAGATGATTGTTTCACCTTCTTGTTAAAGAAAAGCAGTAGATTTCTGGTATTACTGAATACAAATGGAAGAACCTTATTAAGTCTTATACTCTAAAAATTAAATCCGTTTAATCCTTACAAAAACCTTATGAGGTAGGTACATTATTATCCCTTTTTACAGATGAGGAAATTGAGACACAGAGACATTAAATCACTTGCCTGAAGCCACACTGCCTTGGGTTTGCTCCTAGGTGGTAAATGAGTAAATGTTATGAGGCAGTGTTTCCGGTCACCTGAAAACCGGAGGTTCTCACTCACCTGGACTGAAAACAAGAATCACCTGGAGGCCTTGTTAAAACAGACTGCTGGGCCCCACCCCAGAGTTTCTGATTCAGTACATCTAGGATGGGGCCTGAGACTCAGTGCTTGTAAACAAACTTCCATTTGATGCTGGTCTAGAGAGCGCATGTCAAGTTTTAATATTAGAGAACACCAGAGCAGTGTGGATTTACTGTGACTAGAGTGGCCAATGGAGACTTCATAGAGAAGTGGGAACTTGAAATGGGTTAAAACCAGGCAAAGAGGAGGAAGGAAGGCATTCCTAGCAGAGAAGCTCAATCTATACTTTATCCTGGAGATAGTGTGGGAGCCATTAAAGGTTTTGGGTAGAGAGGAGGAGGTGACATGGAAAAGGCAATATTGGGGGTAGGCAAATCTGGCGAAGTTTGGATAAAGAATGTAAAGATAGATGGGAGAGGGCAGAAACTAATTTTCAATTCCCAAATATAGAGCTGAAGCAGCTCCAGGAAAATATTTCCTAGATGAGAAGAGGTTCACACAGAAACAAGGAAAATTTGTTAAAAACTCATTATTATCATTAATATATTATAACAGCTTTGATGCCACAGCCACTTCCCTCCACAATCCAGTGAGGAAGAAAGGAGGGGAATCCTAACCCTAGAAGGTATGGTTTCTCTTGTCTCTTCAGGCTGAGTCCTGCAACACTGACAGCAGAGAAGCAGGGTGAGCTTTCTCCCAATAACTGCAGGTCCTCAAAGCTGGATCCTTTCTTTTCTTTCTTTTTCTTTCGCTGAGAATGATTAGCCCAGAGCTAACATCTGTGCCAATCTTCCTCCACTTCTTATATGAGGGTCACTGCCACAGCATGGCTGACGAGTGGTGTAGGTCTGCGCCTGGGATGCGAAGCCGTGAACCTGGGCCGCTGAACTGGAACATGCAGAACTTAACCACTACTCCACAGGGCTGGCCCCCAGGATCCTTTCTTAGACGGCTAAGAAAGGACTGAATGTCCATCATCTGGTCCCACAGATGGGACAGGAGTAGCACATGCGCAGTACATGTTGTGGTGCCTCAGTCTGTTCCAGGGAAGGCCCTCCCCTTCCCTCACCTCTCGAGGCCAGCTGGATCTAGTGTGGCAGTTAATTACCAGGAATGGCTAGGCAAGCAGGCATCAGGTGGCCTTGTTAGGGCCTTTACTGCCCAAGCCCATCACAGGTGGGCAGTGAGACAAGCCTGCTCCTCTCAACTGGTCCTTTGTGAACAACTAAAAGCTTATTATGTGTTTACATTTCAAGTATATCATTGGCCTGTACATTTAAACTGCCATTATATAGTCAAACTGCATTAGCTAGTATTATATTTAAGGCCAACAGGCCTTAATTTGGAGGGACAGTTTGATGACCAAAGAAGTAAGTTTCTTGGGCTGGCCCCATGGCCTAGTTGTTAAGTTCAGTGTGCTCCGCTTCAGTAGCCCAAGTTCACCTCCCAGGAACAGACCTACACCACTCGTCAGTGGCCATCCTGTGGCAGCGTCTCACTGGCACAGATGTTAGCTCAGAGCTAATCTTCCTCAACAACAACAACAACAAGTAAGTTTCTTTTCAAATGGCATTTGCTTGGAAGGAACTAGGCCAGATCTGTCCGCTAGAAATACAATGTGAGCCACATATCTTTAAACTCTCTAGTAGGCGCATAAAAAGAAACAGGTGAAATTAATAACATATTCTGTTTAACTCAACATATCCAAAATATGGTGATATTTTTATATCACAATCAACATAACAAATTGAGATATGTTACATTCTTTGGTTATATAAAGTTTTTGAAATCTGGTGTCTTTTACACTTAGAGCACATCTCCACCTAGATTAGCCACATTTCAAGTGCTCAGTAGTCACATGTGGCTGGTAGTTTTGTGTTAGACAGTGCAGACCTCGGTCCTGGGAAGAGAAGTTCAGCCTGGGAAGCCTTACCAACTCAAATAGAGGCGATTGTAGGAACCCACGTGAGAGGTGATGGTAATCAAATTGGAAGCTGGGAAGGATTTGGTGAACAGGTGATGAGATGGGGGGAGAGGAGGACATAGGAGACTTTGAAGTGTCAAACTGAAGTATCTGAGAGACTTGGAATATGCTTGCACCCCTAGCAGAAGAATTAGGAAGAAGTCAAGAGGAAAAGCCCTCTATGAGGAAGGAATAGGAGTGGTTTGGTCAGAGTTTGCAGAAGCATACCAAGCTTGGAATTTCTGACAGTTAGTTGGAGATGCAAAATTAGAGTTTCCATATTCATATTCCCTGCTAAATTCAAAGGACCAGATCCAGCCACCACCATGCTCACTTGCTCTCGCAGTTGCCTTCTCATTGGTCTCCCTGCTTCCACTCCTACCTCCACCCCCACCCCTGTTTATGCTTCACACAGGAGCCAGAATTTATTTTTAAAACATTATATCACTCCTATGCTCAAAACTGTCCAGTGGCTTCTTATCTCGCTCAGAAGGAACTCTCACATCCTTACAATTGCCTCTGTGGCCAACCTTGCCCATGGCTCCCAGTCTGACTTCATCTCCCACTACTTCCCCCAGACCCACTCCACTCCAGTGTAGAGGAGAAATCCCTTTCCCTCTATCCTAAATTCTCAGTTGGGGCCCCGGAACCAAGACAGATTAACAGGAGAAAAACAAACTGTAAGTCTTATTAACATGCATGTCTCATATACACATGAGAGAAACCCAGAGAAATGAGTAACTCGGGGAGGTAGCTTAGAATTCAGGCTTAAGTACCATCGTTAGCTAAAACAAAGAAGAGGATGGGGAGGCAAGTCATAGGAAATTGAGCAGGAACACTGTGGTGTACAAATCTCTTATGCAGCTTTAAGTCGGTACCTTCTCCTTTGATAAGATCCTCTGATGATTTAGAATCATCCTTCTCTTCTGGTTCAAAGAGGGAGAGAGACATCCTTACAAATGGAGATTTCCTTTATAAGTGTAAATTTCTCTTACAGGGTAACTCCTACTCTGTTTTCAGAGCTTCTCCCATGTCTGCTGTTTCTCAAAATAATCAACTCAAAATAATCCTTATACCAAAGAGGCATATTTGGGGGTGGCATGTTCTGGTTTCCTCCACCAGCCGTTCTGATGGCTTTACTGTTCCTTGAACACATTACCTGTGCCTGGAGCTGTCCCCTAGCCTGCCATATGGCTTGCTCCTTCACCTCTTTGAGGTTTCTGATCATCAGAGACACCTTTCCTGACCAACTGTGTCAGGGTCCCCAAGACCACTCCAAGGTTCAGGTGTTTACTACAAGGACTCACAGGACTCAGCATATAGTCATGCACATGAATACTCTGTATTACAAGAAAGGATTTAAGACAAAATCAGCAAAGGGAGAAGGCGCGTGGAAGAAACCAGGCGCAGTTCCGTCAGTCCTCTCCTGCAGTCGAGCAGGATGTGCTTAATTCCCCCCAGCAATGTGTTTTGACAACATGCATCAAATGTTGCCAACCAGGGAAGTTTATTAGAGATTCAGTACCAGGGTATTTATATTGGGGGGTGGTCCCATAGGCACCCATTGCCTAGCGGGTGAATACAGTCTTCCAGAAGGAAAGCAGGTGTTCAGCATAAGTCATTTTGTTTGCAGAAATGGTTAGGCACAGTGAGCCACTCTTACTAGTTAGAGTGGTGGGAACCTTCCCCAAATCTAAGTTCCCAGGCACCAGCCGAGGTCCACCTGGTTAGCTGGCTTTAATAAGGAAGACAGTCAGGCTGTCTTCTATGTACACTTGCCCTCCGGATCTGCAGGTTCTGCATCCATGGATTGAACCAACCGTGGATCTTGTACTATGTTTACCCATCCCCCATGATACTGAGAGACAGCTGTACCAACGTATCTCGAGTAGCAGCCTTTCCCCTGCATTCGTTCTCTACCCCCTCACCTTTTTACTTCTTTTTTTGTCACTTATCATTACCTGACTATTAAATATTTGTTATTGTCTGTCTCCTCTCACTAGAGTGTAAGCCCCGTGAGGACAAGAACATTATTTGTTTTCTGCTATGTGTGGCCAGGACAGGGTAAGGCGAGTGAGGCCTATGGTGTGAAACTTAGGGAGGCGCACTCAACTGGGGCCTCACCTGCTCACCCTAGTCCCTGCCCTGCTCCGCTACCCCAACGTGTAAAATAGTGCCTGGCACAAAGGAGGTGCTCCCTACATCTTTTTCTGAATGAATGAATGAATGTGTGGAATAGAATTAATGAAGGGTTGTGGCAAGTGATACTGGGAGTTGATGTCTAAGGTTAAGAGAAAGGTCAAATATTCCTTTTGTTTTTCCACTTACTATTGAAGCTTTCTAATAAAATACAAAAAATTTAATATCCTGGGAAATAGTGAAAAGATATTAAATATAGATAGTGTACTAATATGATACCTATAACTGTAAATGTACATGTTTTTTATTCCTTACTGTAGCCTTGGTATTTTCCCCTTGTATATCCCTTGCATATTGTATATATTTGTATATTTAGATTTTAAAAGATAAAAAAGATGCAAAGATACGAGAGCTCGAGGCCAGAGTGAGTGACCTGGAGCTGGAAAAGGTGAAGCTGGTGAATGCAGGCTCTGAGCGGCTCCGTGCAGTGAAGGACATCAAACAAGAGAGAGATCAATTATTAAATGAGGTGAAAACTTGTAGGAATGAGTTAAACAGTCTGACAGGTATGTTACTTCAGTTCAAATTCTGCTAAAAAATAGGAGAGCTATCAGTGAAGTCCAGTGTGGGCACTAGGACTTTTGCAAAAGATTGTTCCTCGTCCCACATTACAAATGTGGATAATTATGCTGCCCCAGTGGAGCATTTCATCGCCTGAAATCCTGATACTTCTCCTTGAAGAGCTTCCATGTCTTGCACTTATTAACCGTTAACTTTAGTCAGTCCTCAGGGTTCATGAAATTCTGTACTGTGTTTCCAAGAGAAGTATGAGAGAAGTCCTTGAGTCCTTTGAATCAAATAGCTTTGTTAGAGGTTTGATAATGAAGCAACACGTGCAAGCAGACTTATGCAAATTTATTTTTATTGAGGTTATGATAGTTTACAACCTTGTGAAATTTCAGTTGTTCACTGTCACTTGTCAGTCATATTATAGGTGCACCACTTCACCCTTTGTGCCCATCCCCCACCCCCCTTTCCCCTGGTAACCACTAATCTGGTCTCTTTGTCCACGTGTTTGTTTATCTTCCACATTTGAGTGGAATCATACAGAGTTTGTCTTTCTCTATCTGGTTCCTGTTGCTTAACATAATACCCTCAAGGTCTATCCATGTTGTTGTGAGTGGGACAATTTTATCCTTTTTTGTGACTGAGTAGTATTTCATTGTGTGTATGTATGTGTAGATATATAGATATATATATATCTATATATATACAGCATATCTTCTTTATCCAGTCATCAGACGATGGGCACTTAGGTTGCTTCCACGTCTTGGCTGTTGTGAATATTGCTGCAGTGAACATAGGGGTGCATGAATCTCTGAATTGCTGATTTCAAGTTCTTTGGATAGATACCCAGTAGTGGGATGGCTGGGTCATATGGTATTTCTATTTTTAATTTTTTGGGACTCTCCATACTGTTTTCCATAGTGGCTGCACCAGTTTGCATTCCCACCAGCGGTGTATGAGGGTTCCTTTTTCTCCACAACCTCTCCAACATTTGTTATTTTTTTGTCTTGGTTATTTTAGCCATTCTAACGGGTATAGGGTGATATCTTAGTGTGGTTTTGATTTATGCAGATTTTTTGAAAGGAAAAATCCAAGGCCCTAAATTTAAAAATGAAACACTTTTGGTTCATGATTAGTATGATACAGATATCATTTACTTCACACACAAACACATACAGAGTCAATGATGCCTGGGCACATACTATGCTAGATACTGAGATAGGCCCTAGAAACACAACAGTGAGGCTCCCGGCTAGTTGGGAGCCAGTGCTATAGAACAGGTTACAGTACAGTGGGTGAGGCACAGTGGACGTGTGCTGGGTGAAGATGTTGGAGAGAGTAGAGAATCAGCATCCCTTAGGAGGTGACATCTGTACTAGGTTTGAAGGAGGAAAAGGAATTCGACAAGTGAAAAGAGGTGAAAGGGCAATCCAGGCAGAGAACATTATGGGCAAAAGCATGAAGGCATAGAATAACGTACTGTGATCTCAGAAGTATTTGTTGGAGTAAAAGTACAAAGGAATGAGGACTAAGAAATGAGGCAGAATAGATAGGCAAAGCCAGACAATGTGGAGCCAACAAAAGATAGTAAGTAAGAGATTGTTGTCATCAAATTTACATTTTAGAAGCATGGTGTGAGCAGGTAAATAGAGAAAGGCAACACTAGTAAGACAGAAGCCAACCAGTTAAGGAGGATTTTTCAGTGATCCAGGGAAAGATGATGAGAGCCTGAACTAAGGCAGTGACAGTGGGAATGAGAGGAGAGGAAAGAATTGAGAATATTCTTGGAGATTGAGTCAAAAGTACTTAGTGGTTGGAAGGGTTGTGTATGGGTTTCAGGTTTTAAGTTTGCGATACTGGTGGAGCAGTGATAACAACAGTTGAGAGAGAGAAACCAGAAGGAGGGATAGGCTTGAGGGCAGGAGGGTGAGATGTAGTCAGTATGAGGCAGGTTGTTTGGGTGACACTAGGACATCCACATGGAAATGTCTGCACAGACAGAGTTAGAGCTCAGCAAAGAGGTCTTGGCTGTTTGTTCCTGTTATGTGTGAATCTACCTATCATATATAAATATAAATTAAGTAGATAGTTGAATAAGTGTGTATGTGTGTGTGTATTCTTGTATACAAATGGTGAACGTGTGCCAGGTATTTTGATAGTTACTGGAGATAAAAAGATAAGACAGATGGCAGCTCCAGATTACTTACTGTGTCGTGGAGATTTTTGGACCTATAGATGGTGGTTAAATCTGTTGTGGTGGATATGATCATCTAAGAAGAAGGTTTAAGATGAAATAGATGTAGGCCAATTACACTGGCTGGGAAAAAGCAGTGAATAAGTGGGTAGAGGAGGAAGGTCCATCCAAGCAGATTAAAGATTAAAAGTCAGATCCCTGGAAATGGGTATGTACATCTAACTTGTGTAACAAATGACAGTTACGACAGTAAATGAAGTCTCTCCCAGCTCTCAAATTCTGTGATCATTGTTACAAATAAAATATACTTCACAGCAATGGGATAGAAAAAAGTAACCATCTATTACTGACTATCATGTTGTACAGAGGACTATGACGTCTTAAAAAGGAATTTTCGAAACAAGAGTGAGGAAATGGAAACTACTACGAATAAGCTGAAAATGCAATTAAAATCTGCACAGTCTGAACTAGAACAAACAAGGAATACATTAAAGTCAATGGAAGGATCTGATGGTCACGGTATGCCTTCTTAGATTTTTTCTTCTGTTTTTAATTCCATTGGTCTAGATTTATTAAAACACAAACCTAGATACATCCTCTGCCCCCTCTTCACAGTGCCGTATGGCCTGAGGGGTGTACGGCAATAGGTAGCAATGACGGGTGGAACATAGCAGTAGTTCTACTCAGGTTTTTGAAGGGAAGTTGCCATGTACTTAATTTAATCTCTAAAGCATTTGAATCTTTCTTTTCCTGTAGCTATTTCAATAATTTCTAACAGACTTGAATGTCTGTGAATGCCAATTAATTATTTTTAAGGAAGTGTTGATATAAATACAAGTTAGGGATAACTTTCGTTCAACCATTACTTTTTACCTGTTCATTATCTACATAAACTATGTATCTGTGGCTCATTGTCAGTTCCTGACTCCTTCTCTGTGATAAAAACAGGAAGGAGCCCTGGGAATGGATCTGCTAGGATGAGCACCTACTTAGACCTGCTCCCTTTTTATCTTGCTGCTTGAATTAATTCAGAGAGAGAAGATTATTTTCTGTTTCATATTATTCATATCATTGTTGATACAGCTATATTAGCTGACTATAAGAATAAATATCTAAGTAAAGGCTACATTTTTCTATTTCTCAATATTTTTTAATGTCAAAAGATTTATTTCTGTGCTCACTTCAGCAGCACATAAACCAAAGTTGGACCCATACAGAGAAGATTATCGTGGCCCCTGCACAAAGATAGCATGCAGTTTCTTGAGGCATTCAGTATTTTGTGTGGTTCTCAGAGGTTCAGCTCTTTCTTTGCTGGTTAACTTAACCAAGAACATGGTGGGGTTTGGAGAGGTCACTCAAGAGGCCCATTTGGAATTGCCCCCCAACACCAGACAGTCCCTTCCTCACTGCCCTCCAGGCATTCCACAACTGCCCCAGTCACATGACAATTATTAAATTAAGCAGGTAATCCTTTATTTGCATTTGAATGCTTATTTTCATTGATTAAAATCATCTTAATAAAAAGGATTTAAGAAAATTACCTTGGAAGTCCAATCATGATCTAATTAATAAGACCAGAATTCTTCAGAGTGGGACTTTTAATCTATTAAAAGTCTATTTTAATCAATGTACTGTGCCTGTATTAACCTTGTTTTTGACAGTTTAGTGAGAAACTGTATCTTCTTAGCAAAAAGTCAGACCTTTCATCCTCTCCAATGGTTTGTTTTTGAAGAATGGTACGTTTTCTGTTTCACCTCTAAGCTATAGCTGGACCTGACTCAAAGCAGTGGCATTTTCAAACCTCTTTCGTCAGCTGACTATAAGAAACAACATAAGGTCTCTCGCTTTGAATTTCCAAGCAAGGATGAGCTTTGTGTGTCTTTTCAGTGGCCTGCCGTGTATTAAGTATTCAGTGTCATCAGTTTTACTAAAATGATCACATATATGCTTGTGCTGCCAATTTGACTATTGAAACAGAAATGAGTTCCAAGCACATGACAATAACCATGAGAATGCAAATTGAATGGTTTGTGATATCACAGGAATCTTTTAAAAGATCACTAATAGTAGATTTCTTGTGTGGTATTTTAAATATGAGTTTCTAGAAAAAATATTTTAGTAAAAATGCTATGTACATTATTCATTATATAACTATATATTTTAATGTGTATATTTCCTGTGTGTAAGTGTGACTTTGATCAGTATTATTTATTACCATTGAAATATGGCAAATTACAGTGGTCAATGAAACTTAATTCCAGTAGCAAAGAAATCACAAAACATCATCATTTATATATATTTCTCAGCTCAAAAGTCTCTGAGTAATTGCTGAAAATTATTATATCCCAATATTGTAAAATATGAAGACTTTTTTCCATGATCACTTCCTTGAAACTGTCCAGGTGCCTTGGAGAATCTTACTTGTCACTTTCTCATAATAGTAGCCTCTCAAAATTTAGAAAATTTAAAAACTAAAGCACAGTTTACTTTCTTTTTTTCCCAGCTATGAAAGTGGCAATGGGGATGCAAAAGCAAATCACAGCTAAAAGAGGTCAAATAGATGCCCTTCAGAGCAAGATACAATTTTTGGAAGAGGCGATGACAAATGCAAATAAGGTGAGTCCCTGTCCTCGGAGTGGGGGAAGCCAACATGTTCACTCATTAATATACTTCATGACAGAAAGACATAGCAGAGATACAAACTACAGTGGAGAAAAGAAAAGAGTTTATTTCTGACTAAGAGAATGAGGAAAAGTTCCCGAAGGAACATTTGAACAGGATCTTGAAAGAGCTGGTATTTTAAATGCAGGAATTGGGCAAAAGGACGTTTATGGTGAAGACAGGGAACACAGTCAGTTCTTCTGTAACGCGACATACACGTTCCTAAAATCACTGTGCTGTGCAAAATTATGCAGTAAAAACTACAGGGCTTATGAGAATCAGAGCACTGCACTAACAGATTTAATCAGTGACACCAAAAAAATAGGAACCTAATGAAAATGGTCACACAGTTTTATACATGTTAAATGGTTAAGAAATACATAAATACTATAGTAAAGATAGCCCTTTATCTTAAAAAAGACCTGAAGTTTGCTTGCGGGTGTGTGCGTATAAGGGTTGCAGCTTGTGACTTATGAAGGGATAGAGGGTGGGTTTTCTGTAACACCAGATGTGCATGGGCGTGGCTCACAACACAAGGTAAACTGAGGTAGCTGATAGATAGTTGTTTGAAGACTGTGCATGTATGCTTTGTGTGTGTTCCTATACAGCTCTGTTTAGCTGGTGCGGTTTTCTGCATTGACCTAATATTTCTCATAAATGAAGCTGTGCATAAGTAAATGTGAAATTTGTGTTATGCTCAAATATTCCCTGATAATCACTTGGGAACAAATTTGCATTTTCAAAAGAAGAATGATAACTGAACTGACTGTAATGGAAGTGAGAAAGTAAAGAGCTTAAGTAGAAAATAATAAGTGCAACTAAAGTAATTGCTTCCCCTTACCCAAAGGAGCTGCTGAAATACTTTTTTAGAACAAGGCCAAATATTAACAATACGTATATGCGTTTGTGCACACCCCTAATCGTGTAGACTTACTTCCTCTTTTTTGTGCTTTCTCATTTTTTTCTCTCCTCCTTTTCTCTTACCTTAAATTTGTTTTTTTCTTCTTCTTCTTCCATTATTTACCTATCTGGAACCTACGCCATGTTTATCCTCATCCTGAGGGTGCTTAGGGCGTTAAGAGCTTGCTGCCTGCCATCCTCAGAGATTCCTGTCCCCCGAAGGAAGGCATTCATCAAAGCTCAATGACAGTGCATTCAAACAGAAAAGAGGCAGCTTGTAAAAGTAATCCCTCTTTCTCTCTGAAGCTTTTCTGCCTAACTAATCAGAAAAGGAAAAATTATTTGCATCCAAAATGTGTGTTATAGCAACAATACCTTCTACCTTATTTACATTAAAAATTTTCTCTATGAAAAAATATGTTATTTAAAAAAATATAGACCTCAATAAGTTGAGGTCTATATTTTAATTTGACTACTATGCATTTTTTTTGTATACCTATTCTATGATTTTTTTTTTTAAGATTTTATTTTTCCTTTTTTTCTCCCCAAAGCCCCCCAGTACCTAGTTGTATATTTTAGTTGCAGGTCCTTCTAGTTGTGGCATGTGGGATGCTGCCTCAGCGTGGCCTGACGAGTGGTGCCATGTCCACGCCCAGGATCCAAACCAGCGAAGCCCTGGGCTGTCGAAGCGGAGCGCGCAAACTTAACCACTCTGCCCCGGGGCGGCCCCTCTATGATGTTTTTTAAAGGAGTGAACTACTTTTAATGAAGTTTTGTTGACTACCAAAGGCTCTCCTGGAGTGTATATCAGCAAGCTCATTCTTGTCACTGGGCTGTAAGTGACTTGAGGGCAGGAACAGTGTGTCCCATTTCTTTTTATGTTGGAGTATCTGCAGTAGACATTTGTGAAATGAATATTCAATCTTGAAACAAAATAGAAGCCCATAAAGCTTTCAAATAAATGCATCTTCTTTAAATCACTTCTGTCATTTTAAACAAATTTCAATAAAATTTGATGTATGATTACTCAGTCTCAATTCACTATTACACTCTTTTTTTATGACAACATAGTTATAACACATTTTGTAGGTTTCATCAAAGATTTATTATGCCTAGAAAGAAGTAATAATACTAGTAGCAATAAAAATGAGTACAAGGTAACATAATTTTAGCAGCTCCCAACTCCAACTCAGAAGCAATTAAATGGCATATGACTTAAACTGTAGTTCAGATCTTTATATAATAATAGTTTTATATTTCCATCACATCTCAGCATCTACATCAGCATATTATTTCTGATATTTTCTTCTCTGTAATTGTAGGAAAAGCATTTTCTAAAAGAAGAGAAGAATAAATTAAGCCAGGAATTAAGTACTGTTGCAACAGAAAAAAACAAGATGGCCGGAGAACTAGAAGTCCTGAGATCTCAGGAACGCCGTTTGAAAGAAAAAGTGGTTAATATGGAAGTTGCTCTTGATAAGGTAGTTATTAACTAAATATATAAAGTAGTTAACTAAATAGTTATTAACTAAGTAGAATTGTTCTGAATGAAAGCTCCATGTTGATAGGAAGCAAATCTGTCAAATTGCATTGTATCCTAATCACCTCATACGAGGAAAAACTATATCCGATAGAGAAGGTTTTTTTTTTTTGTATGAGGAAGATTGTCTCTGAGCTAACATCTGTGCCAATCTTCCTCTATGTTATGTAGGATGTTGCTATAGCATGGCTTGACTAGCTGTGCTAGGTCTGCCCCCGGGATCCGAACCTTTGAACCCTGGGGCTGACGAAGCAGAGCGCATGAACTTAACCACTATGCCACTGGGCTGGGCCCCCAGAGAAAGCTCTTCTGAACTTTGAAAAATAGTCATAGTGCATACTTCTTTCAAAATTAGTTTTTTCAGGCTAACGTGGTCATAGGAGCAGTAAGATAGAAGATATAAGATGCTCCTGGTATCCTTAGTGGCCTGAATAATTAAAAACGTCACCAATCTAACTTACCCCCAAAGAATGACTTAAACGATAGGTAGAATACAGTCTGTCAATAATACCAATAAAATGGTAAAGTAAGGCTAATGTCTGTCACTTTGTGGGGTCCAGCAAGTGTCAGTAGAAAACAGAGCTTAAAGAATGAGAAGGATGAAGGACAGTATATTTGTCACTGTCACTTATTAGAAATAAATCTCTCTTCTGGTCACCTGAAAACTCTGGAAACCTAAAAATGTACCAAAAATAGTCCTTGATTCTTATCAGAGCCTTCATGGTTATATAAAATGATCTGTGATCCCACCTATGCCAACTCTGATCTTAAAACATAATATATTGACCCAATGAATTTCAGTTGTGGTTATTTTTATGTAAATGTTTTTACATTACTAAAGTTGTTTGCTCATTTCATCCTTAGTTTGTTCATTCTTTTGAGTGACCTCCACATACTAAATGCTGTATAGAGGTGGGGATACAGAGGATAAAGACATCACCTCCAATTGCTCTCAGTTTCCTGAATAGAACAGATAAATAAATGATAAATGTAATACAGTGTGCTAAGAGTGGGGGAGTTTCCTTGAAGAGATGGCAACTCTGCATTTATAGATTAATACAGTAAAATTGCATAAAGAATGAAGGATAAACCACGTGTGGTTGCTTGATTGTAGGCATCTTTGCAGTTTGCAGAATGTCAAGATATAATACAGCGTCAGGAACAAGAATCTGTGCGCCTAAAACTTCAACACACTTTGGATGTAAAAGTAAAGTCTTTTTTTCCATCATAAGTTGCAGTTTAAGCAAGAATAATGCCTTTGATATACTTCATGTACCTTAGATACATTCACGTGTACTTTTAACATTATCTAATGCTAGCAATTATGAAATCTGTACAAATGTTATTACATACTGTGCCTGTCCTTTCCATATGTAGTAACAAATTGCAGCACCGTGCTTTCTGTTAAGTTACTAATAAGGAGAGGAAACACAAAAGTCCCTGCCTTAGGGATTCTTGAGGGAAAGTTTTGCATACAGAAGGCAAAGTGCAAAGGCCCAAAGTGAGAGCGTGTTTGGTGAATAGCAAAAATGATGTAATCTGCGGGACATGTGTTCTTTAAAAATTGTACATTTTCCACTGAAGTGTATGTCTGTATTCCAGTGTATTTTAAAGTTGCAAACATACTTTCAAGTCTCAGTCCTGGAGACTTTACAGGCAAGAGCACTCTAGTTGCAGAGGCTCTTCCACAGTAGTGTGCCAGAACCAGCATGGAGTCTTTGGCAAAAGTTAGAGGCCAGTGTGGGAGCAAACCTTCCTAGGTGTGTTTTCACATCTGGATGCTTTGTCACTCGGGAATGTGAAGCCATCTTCCTGAGCACATGCTTAGTCTTCCAGGAGTAGCTTATACATCCAGGATCACCTTACTTAATACTTTGGTTTATAACCTTGTAAGTTCAACATATAACATTGAAATTATGGTTGTAAAAATAGATTTTGATTTCACAATTCTAATTGTAGATTGACAGTTATTTTGCTCACATGATATACTGTTTGCCAGGAACTTCAGGGCCCTGGATACACCTCAAATTCTTCTGTGAAACCGCGCCTCCTACAGTCGTCCTCTGCTGCCCGTTCTCATTCTAATGTACCGTCTTCCCAGTCTACAGCCAGCTTCCTGTCGCAGGTAAGTATCTAGGCTTATAATCCAGATGCAGATGACATGATATGTAAACACTTTTAAAGTAAGAAGAATTCTATTTAAAAAATATGTCTTTAGTTATGACATTTTCAATTACTAGATTTTAGATTTATACAGACGGATGAAAACGTTTTCTTCACTGATGTTTTCTCTGGGAAAAACAGACATGAAATATTCAGTGAGATTGATTTTAACAGTAATTGTTAAAGTAAATTATTCAGTTGCCTTTTGTTCAATTTTTTCCCTCACAAGCCTTTCCAGATTACAAAGCAGATGTTCACATGGCTAAAATAAGCATCATTTCAAATGGCAAAGGCAAGTTAGTGGTGTGTTTAATACACTACCAAGATAAACATGATTTGCTGTATATTGTCTTTTCATGAACTTTATGTGAAACTTATGTGTAATAAAAAATTGTATTAACCTTAGAACATTTTTATTCCCTTTAGTTACAATGTTAGTGACTTTGGAAAATTTTTAGTCTAACTTTTCAGACTTTTAAAGCTCAGGAAAAAAATACGTGCGATGTAAAATTCACGCTTTGTCTCTTCTGAACATACATATGTTTATGGAACCACAAATCTCTTGCAACCAGTGTTCAGCTCCAGCTCTGAAGAAATGAGGCTTATTTCATAAATCATGCATGAAAATCAATTTCAGTAGTTAATGGTCCTATCATATGTATAGCAACAAGATCACCAGTGACCTACCAGTTATTCTGCCTGTGCCATTTAAAGGAAAAGTATGCACTGTGAAATGACTAAAAGTTGAAATGGACTCCTCTCACATGCTTACGATGTGTGCACTGATAAACAAGCTATCCCACAAGAAATAATAGAACATTCTATCAAACAATAGAATAATAATGTTAATATTAGAAGTTAAACGGTTCTGTCTAGAGACTGGAACTTGGAGGCGGGCAGAGAAAAGGCAGGAGACTGCTGCTTTTTGTTTTCAGTGTTATAAAGTCATTTTACCTTTAAAACCCTGGATATATTACGCCGATAAAAATTAAATTATACTCCCTCCTCAGAATAACCCCATGAACCAAACAACAAACAAACAAAACAACAGCAACAAGGAGAACTTGACCAGGTATCCTTGGGACTAAGATGTGTCTCTAAATACTTTGTGTGATCTTGGAAAATCAGTAAATATATCATGCCTTGCTCTTTTCATCTCTAATGAGGAGTCTGGACTAGGTAATCTCTAGGGTCATCTAGAAAGATCAACTCTGAAATTCAATGACTTTTCGTTACTCAAAAGCCAGCCTAGTGGGTTTTACCTCGCTCCTTAATACACAGACTCCACTTGATTATACAGAATCTCATCCATCACTATAAAACTACCCAGTCTTAAGTCTTTTAAATTAAATTTTTAAATTGCAATTCTAACAGCAGTAATGAACTATATTTTCTAAATAGACTGTCAAGTCCGCTTTATACAATTAATTTCTTCTCTTGAAAATGTTTATTATATGGGCTGGCCCCATGGCATAGTGGTTAAGTTCAGCACGCTCCAATTCGGTGGCCCGGGTTCATGGGTTCAGATCCTGGGTGTGGATCTACACCACAAGTCAGCCATGCTGTGGCAGTGTCCCACATACAAAGTAGAGGAAGACTGGCAACAAATGTTAGCTCAGGGTGAATCTTCCTCAGCAAAAAAAAGAAAAAAGAAAAAATGTTTATTATATAATTTTACACAGTTAAAAATACCATACATTCTTTGTTTTGTTCTCTGATATGTTTCAAGTACCTAGCACTGTGTTTAGCCTATAGTAGGTGTTCAACACATATCTATCTAATGGGTGAATGAATTCATTGTAAAACATTGTGTTCAGGTTTTCATTGTTTCTACTGGTAAGTAAGTTTTAAGTCTTATTGTTGCTCTTTTGGAGGTAATTTTTTTCTATGACAGCTCTTAAGATTTTTCTCTTTGTTTTGGTCATAGCAGTTTGACTGTGATGTGCCAAGAGGTAATCTTATTTGTATTTATCTTTCTTACGGTTCACTGATCTTTGTGGATGTGTGGATTGGTATCTTTTATTAATTTTGGAAAATTTTTCTCCCTTTCCTTCTCAGTTATTTTTTCTGCCCTCTTTTTTTGTTTCCTTCTGGCACTTGTACTATTAACATTATTTTTTAAATTAGTGTATGATAACTGCATTATCTGAATCCCCTATGGGCCTGTGGCCATTGTTTCTCTTGGTTTCTAGTCATGTTATCTGGTCTTTTTGCTTCCTTTTTTCCAAGACTATTGTTTTAGAGCAGTTTTGTATTCACACCAAAATTGAGAATAAGCTACAGAGATTTCCCATGTACTCCCTGCCCTACACACACACAGTCTCCCTGATTATCAATATCACTCACCAGAATGGTCATTTGTTGCCAAGAATGAACCTGTGTTGACACATCATAATCACCCAAAGTCTGTAGTTTACCTTGGGGCTTGCTTTTGGTGTTGTACATTTGATGGGTTTGGACAAATGTAAAATGGCATATATCCATCATTATAATATTCTCAGTATTTTCACTCCCCTAAAAATCCTCTGTACTCTGCCTATTCATCTCTCCCTCCATTTCACCCCTAGCAACCACTGATCTTTTTATTGTCTCCATAGTTTTGCCTTTTCTAGAATGTCATAGAGTTGGAATCATTTAGTATGTAGCCCTTTCAGATTGGCTTCTTTCCCTTAGTAATATGCATTTTAGCTTCCTCCATGTCTTTTCACCGCTTGATAACTCATTTCTTTTTAACACTGAATAGTAATCCATTGTTTGGAGGTACCACAGTTTGTTTATCCATTCACCTACTGAAGGACACCTTGATTGCTTCCAAGTTTTGATAATTATGAGTAAAGCTGCTATAAACACCCATGTGCAAGTTTTTGTGTGGACATGTTTTCAGCTCCTTTGGGTAAATACTAAGGAGCACAATTGCTGGATCATATGGTAAGAGTATGTTTAGTTTTATAAGAAACTGTCAAACTGTCTTCCGTACCATTTTGCATTCCCACCAGCAATAAATGAGAGTTCCTGTTGCTCCACATCCTAGCCAGCGTTTGGTGTTGTCAGTGTTCTGGATTTTGGCCATTCTGATATGTGCATAGTGGTATCTTGTTGTTTTATTTGCATTTCCCTGATGACATATGCTGTGGAGAATCTTTTCATATGCTTATTTGCCATCTAAATATCTTTTTTGATTAGGTATCTGTTAAGGTCTTTGACCCATTTTTTAATCATTTGCTTCTTTTTTAAATAATTGAGTTCTGGACATTGAATATGAAAAATTACAGAGATAATTTGGGGTTCTTGATTTTTTTTTCTTCATAGAGGATTTGCATTTGTTTCTGGCTGGTAGCTAAAGTAAGGGCTCTAACAATCCTATGTCACCTTAATTGATTTGAGAATTGAGATTGTTTGGTTTAATGCTCTTCTCTCAAAACCTGAGGCTTACCAATTATTCCCCACCTCTTTGATACAGTTCCAGTTTTTATCTCTCTAGCTCCATGATTCTGTCAAAAGCTCATCTCACCTTCTCAGCCTCTGAGCTGCTTCTTTAGAATTGGCAAATGCTTCACAGAAAAATGGCCCCAAATGCCTCCCTCCCTGGATTTTCTTTTGTTCCAGGCTTTGGCCCCATAATTCTTAACTGTGTTAGTAGCTGTCTAATGTTGTCAGGCAGACTTAAGAAATATATTTTGTATACTTTTCTAGTGAATTCTGAACAGAAGGGTTGGTCTACCATTACTGGGAAAAGAACTCCTCTACTATTATTCATTGCTCATACAATTTTAGATAGTATCCATAAACTACTATAGAATATAAAAATTGTGCTCTTTTTTACCTCACATACATACACATACACATTTCTTTTCCCTATTTAAGCCCGTCCATGTTATGATATCCAATTTTGGTTACGTCTCATTGAGTGTTCAAATTATTATGATTATGTAAATATTCCCTAGCTGAACTGTGCAATGAACTGTGATTATATTTTCTTTTAGCCCTTAGATTTACTAATTGTTTTGTTTTACTTTGTTTAGTTTTCTAGATATCTGGAACTAATTACCTTTCAGAATTCTCTGGAAAAATACTATAAAACTCCTTTTAGTATGAGTGAAGTATAGGGGCAGAACGTTTTTCACTTCTTCCCTTCTAGGTTCTTTGGCTGGTCTGATAATTAAATAGACCTAAGACAGATTAACAGGAGAAAAACTAATTTTGTATGTATGGGAGCCCCACAAAGACAGTGAGACTCAAAGGCAGTCAGGCAGTTTGAGACTTACATGCCATCTTGAGCTAAGGGATGGGGTAGGAGCCCGGGGCTTCAAAGGGGGAGAAGGCAGTTCACAGGAAGATGAGCAGAGCAGAGGTTTGGTACTCAGATGTTTGCCCTGCCAGGCAGGTAATTTTTTCAGATAAAAAAAGTTATATCTGGTAATAGGTCTCTTTCGGGGCCAGGCTATTTGAATTCTTTTTGGCAGTTTAGGGAGAGGTATAAGTTTTTCCTGAGTCTGCTGAATCTTGATTTCCTTTGGTTTGAAATAATCCACTTACAAAAGTGGCACATTTCGGGGTGCCGTATTCCATCCTCTTGCAAAAGGGATCAGCTGTTTTATCAGTTCCTTTATTCGTTTATATGTTATGTATTATGTTTTTCGGAGCCCTCGTATCCTGTTCTAATCTGATTGGTTGCTCTCTAGACTTTCGGCATGCTTGCTTTCTTGGATTTTCCTTCTACCAAAATTCGGGGAATTTCTTTCATCTTTTTTTCTGTGTTTTAGGTTTAATTCCCTTTCTTGGTTTCTTTTTTCCTTTTGGTGGAGCATATAAAGCAGCGGCTTCCCCTGAAAGGGTGCATTTCATTCTTTAACTGTTTTAAAACCTTCCTGTCTGAAATTACCTTTATTCTTCACTTACATTTGATTGATGTTCAAAATGTTGTTGCTGTTGTGCCATTTTGATTCCAGAGCCTTTGTATGT